CTCGGCAAACGATGACTGACTGAAATTGGGAAATTCTCGGGCAGCATCAGGCAGCCAGCAGCGCCCAGCATCCAGAGCAGCACAGCCCAGAGGCAACAACAGCAACAACAACAACAACAACAACGAAGACGAAAAGGACGACGACGACGAGGAACGATGAGGATACTCGTTCGTGTCGCAACGCATCGGGGCGCAGTTTTAAACGAATATCCTGCGCTGAAATCGAGCTGTGTGCAGGACAGCCAAGAAAAGGACATTTTTCTTCTTTTTTTTGGTGTTGTTTTTTTTGTGTACTCGCTACTCTCAGCAAGGACTCGCCGCTAAAGTAATGGCGGCAAAAGCTGTTGCTGTTTAGCAAGCAGCAGTAGCAGCAACAGCAGGGGAAAGGCTGGGTGGGGGAGGGGAGCGTTTGTTGGGGCTGTGTGCGGCTCAGTGGCGCACTCTGTCGGTCTGGGGGGGAAATTAATGCAAACTGCTGCTGGAAATTTAATTTAGCTGCTGCTGCTGTTGCTGCTGCTTTGGCTGCCGCTGTGGGCGCTATTTGTTGTTGTTGTTGTTGTTGTTGCCTTTAGCTGTGGGCATGGCCGTGCGTCAGCTTAGCCTGCATTACGTTTCCATTTTCAATTTGTGCACTGCAATGCGCTCAAGTGCAAGTGGGCCCAAAGGCGGCCCGCAGCTATATAGATATATGTTTGTGTATATCTCTAGATACGTATATATTATGGCCCCTAGTCTCCAATTGCTGCTGCTGCTGCTGTTGCTGCCTCTAGGCGCGTGCGTCTGTAATTTTATCTAATCAGTTGCACGGATGCGGCATAAATGCATTTATCATCATGCCACCAACCAACTAGCAGCAAGGAATAATCTGCGGCTTCTGCTGCTAATCTTTCTGCTACTTTAAATAGCAGCTGCTGCTGTTGCATCCTGTTGCTGCTGCTTGTTCATTGTGCATTTGATTGATTTAGCGATATAAATCGAGTTGTGCTCCTTATGACTTGTATGTGATACCAATTGGAGCTGGGCTTCTTGGTCGACACAAATTGCTTAAATGTTGAGTGTAGTTTTTTTGATAAACTAAATTTGAACGACTATGATTATATATAAAATCCGATATATTAGCTATGTCTCTCTTGATGCGTTATACAAAATAATTATTCTCTCAACATTTCGCTTTTCATAAGAATTACCAAAAAATATTTAACTGATTACATAAAATCTTTTGGATCCACGGCTCGTCGTTGATTTCTAATGCATGTCTCAATTGAACAATCCATGATCAATATCTACATCCAGACAGACGCAAATCGACATTCAATAATAGACAGCCAATTTGTATATGTATTTTTCCACTTAGACGTAGCAGAAACTAGCGAATTCAAATGGCAACAGCAGCAATACGTCAAAATGCAAAAACATCATCAACAAGAACAAGAACAACTACAACGATGACAGCAAACGGAAGTCACATATATAGATTCAGATATATACGCAGCTAAATATACTAATCGAGTATATTTATATACAATCGCGCATATATACATACAGACTATACGAATATATATATATATATATCTATATATATTTAGAGAGACATTCGCAGACAAGAAAAGCGACAAGAACAGCAACAACAACACTTACAACGAGGCGACGTCAAAGACCGATCGCAAGGCAACTTTTCAATATATATATATATATATATATTTCGTAGTTTATTTTGCGTTTTTCAATTTTCTTTTCATGTTTTGGGCCAGTGAAAAGTTGGTGGCCAGTAAACGGGGCCGTAAAATGCTTAGATGCTGCGCAAATTGCAAATATGAGCATTGCACATATTAAGGCGACATCCACCTAGTTGTAGTTGCCACTGCGTGTATCTGGTAGATACTGTGCAGCCTGCGGCACAACACTTGCAGTTGCCGACAAAAATAACACGCTTTATTTATAACAACAAGACAAAACGAGGCAACTTTAACGAGTCGAAGTTAAAACACGCTTGCAGACCGGAGTCAAGTTGCCGCTTAGACGACTGTTCACCAATAAAAAGATTTTCCCTATGAATACTATATAATATAGTAAAAAAGTTGATATGCCAAGTTCAAGGAAGATAGCTTTAAAACTAATCTAGTTTACATTGTCAGTTAGATATATGGGTAGCTGAGTCATGAGTGTTCTCGAACAGTGCTGCTCAAGAATATAAAGACGTCTATAAAGATAGCTTATAAAGTAATCTAGTTTACATTGTCAGTTAGATATATGGATAGCTGAGACATGGTTATTGGTTATATATTATTATAAATATGTCTCCTTTTAATGTGTTACAAACTAAACGACAAAAGCATAATACCCCAAGAGGGAGCCCACACACACGCACAAATGGGGGGTGGGGGGTGGGAAACTCACAGCGGCATACGACGCGTGTCAGCCACACGCCAACTTCAATCCGCATCTACTCCACCGCTAAATGTATCTGCAGTCGCAGTAATGTATCTATGTATCTGCAGCTGTAGCTGTGGCTGTATACTGCTGTATCTGTATCTGTTGCTATTTTGCACTTTCAATTCAATTATAGTCACTTAAATCCGCGCACGTAGCTCAATAGCAAACATGAATTTTATGAATAACATGCGATTGAAACTGAGAATTCTTTATCTCAGCGAGCGAGAACAGCATCAGAACTGAACTCAACTCAACTGAACTGAACTGAACTGAACTGAACTAAGAGACGCGACAGTCGAATGCCAACTGAGGAGGCGACTGAGATGCCACAGCGAGCGAGATCGTCTACCACAAACAAATCCCAATCGCTGCTGCTGCTGCTGCTGTTTTCAGTCTTGTTTTGCTGAGAGATTTTCTCATTTTTCTCACGGCCGCCTACCCGCTGCCCTCGCCGTCCTCGCTGGCGTCTGCATTTTATTTGTTTGTTTGTTTATATTTCACTGGCGTCACATCAAGTGGTTTCAACACAATTGACTTGTGTCGCACACACACTGCGGGTGTTTCACTGCCGTCTGTCTCTCATTGTTTCTACCTGCCACAGACACTAATCAAATATTTTGAGGCCTGCGATCAAAACATGTGCCACCAAATCAGAAGATTTATGCCGTTGCAACTGTTGCACACTCTTCAGCTATTTTTAGCCAGTTGCCTGCAACCAAAAAGATATATATATATATATATATATATATGTATACATATATATATTTCTTGCTGCGTGCGTCTGCGTTTAATGAGCTGAGCTGTTGTGTTGTGCAGCAGCTATCTGCACTCCTCACTCCTCCCGCACGCTGTGCGGCAAGCGGAAGTGTGCATCAGCCTGAGATCAACATCAATTGCAGTGGAACAAATGCGCTACTTTTTGTGCATACAATGTTTGTCCAATTCCTGCACGAAGAACACAACCAGTCAGCCAATCAACTTGCGACTTATGATTTGTCAGTCCTATAAAGAACTATAAAGAACGAGTCCTATAAAGAACTAACCAGAAAAAATTCACCTCATCTAGAACATCGATTTATAAGAATGCCAGGAAATGCATTGTCATTGCTCGTTGAAAAATACGACAAAGTTAGTGAGTCTTTTTGTGGCATCAAAAAATTCATAAAGTTATATTAATGATATAAATATTTAAAAAATATTCTAGCTTGATAAAACCATTTGATAGACTTTTATATTGTATATTATTAATTAAAAGTAACTTTCGTTTGCTTTAAATATAGTTGTAAGTAATTGCGTAACATATATATATATATATATTTTATATATATTTCCATAAATAGAATTTAACGATTTGGATTTGCTGCTGCCTTTTTTTGTGGCCCGAAATTGATTTTTGACACGGCCAAAATCTCAAGTGTTGTCATCTCAAGTTTGTTTGTTTACTTATTCGCTGAGCCCTGGTTCTGGTGTTGGTTATCGTTATTCGATGCCTGGTGACGAAAACGGCGCCACAAGCCACAAAAAGGGAGCGCATGTCAAGTGCCTCAATGCGTCCCTTTATGCCTCGTATTCTCGTAGCTCGTCGTGGATTCCTCCGTCAACTGTTAACTGTCACATTTTTGGGCATTGTTTACGTTTCTGGCAGATCCTGGCACCTGCGCACTGCCCACATAAACAAGCCGACTGCCGATGGCCGAGTGGAGCCGATTGAGGCCGAGCGGAGCCGAGTGGAGCAGGGCCGAGCAGCCTGTACCACAGTCGAGCAGCCTGAATGCAAACAAGTGGCTGTTGTGTGTCCTCTCGCCACGAACACGCGACAAACTGTTGCCGAGCTGTTTGTGGGAGGGGGTGGGGCGGGTGGGGAGGTGTTGGCCTGTGGCGAGGGTATACATATAGAGCCACGCTCCAAGATTATTATCGATTGATGCTGGACATGCGCAATGCGCACCCAAATGCTGACATATCGAAAGGCAACTCCTTTTGATGTAGACACAATAATTACGAGGAGCAGCAGCAGCAGCAACAGCAGCAGCAGCAGTTGCCACATTTTACAGTGTATACGGGGACTAACGGTACATTGTACGCTGCTGCGTCAGAACGTTCCCGTGCTTCGTGTGAAACGGTTCACAATTTCGTCAGTGCGTCTTGTCAGTCTTGTCTGTCAGTCTGTCTGTCTGTCCGTCTGTGTGTGTTTGTTGCGCTTAGATTGTTAAACAGTGAAACACACACGTCAAAAGTTCACTCAAAAGTAGTCGCTTGTGTTCCAACTTTGTGTTACTCATCATTTGTAGTTGCATACAGCATATCAAGACTACACACACACACACACACACACACACACACACTCATACACACACACACACACTCGTACATACGCTTAAGTGTGCTTTTTGCATTGGCATTTGTGCTTTTGACTGAGAAACAGTTGCTATATATCTATATATATTCATATATATAGACACACATATATATATGTGTGTGTATATTTTTGAGAGAGTGTGTGTCTCACTTTCTTTGCTTTCGGTTGCTTAACACGCACACACACACACACACACACACACACACGCACACGCACACACACCGAGTACACACACGCATTTGTGAAAAGTGAAAGTGACGCCCCGAAACACAGCAGCCCACAAAAAAAGAAAAAGAAAGGAAAAAGGAAAGAAATTCCTTTGGAGCAACTCGCCAGAACGAATCAGGCTTTGACCATATACAGCATATATTTCTATCTATATACATATATATACAACGCTTAGCAAAGTAATTTCCCTATATCAAATTTCGCCAGCTATTTGCAAAAGCATTTTGTAAAAAAAAAAAATGAAGAATTTTAAGCCACAAGCAGCTTTCGTCCTTGTTCTCGTCCACGTCCACGTCCACGTCCTCGTCCTCGTCCTCGTAATTTATGCGTAGCACATACAAATTTGTGCACACACTTATACACACAAACACAGCACAACCTGCCACCACAACACACCGCCTCCCAGCACCCACCCACGCACCCCCACACACTCAACTTCTGCCCACGCATGTTGTAAATTGAATAACGTACACTTTTTTTGGTAACTTCACTCATTTTGTATAAATTGCATTTTCGCACTTTTATTTTTGTTGTCTTGTGTACAATTTTCCTACGAATTTTCTTTTGAAAATATACATTTTTTTGCAGTCAAAATGATATAATATTAAGCACGCAAGCGGATCTCACAAATCCGTTGAAGCAACTTGTTCATAATTTTAAGCTGGGTCCGGAAATCAAATTTCACTTCGAACAGGTAAGTAAAACTTTGTCTTTGTTTTAATACGGTTTTTTTCTCTGCACGGGGAATGCTTTCTAAGAATAATACTTTATTTGATCTTTGGCCAATTAAACTATGACACATATTCAGATAAACTTTGGAGATTCTGATAAATATGGTAAAAATGATATGAAAATTTAAGAACACTTGAATCGAACGGGGTTCCAAAAATCAATTCTTATTAAAATCAGGTAACATGTTAAATTTGAGTATACTCGTACATTTCTAAATTCCTTCGATTGAACTTCAATAATTAAAAAAAAAAACTTTTCACATGCAAAATTTAATAATTGTTATTTATTTTCTTTTGGCATGATTTTTTGTTCTGGGATCACTTTCATTTTATAACCCTGAAAGAATGCAACAATTTCTATAACGTTGAGAACTGAAACCTGAAAGCGCACCACCCTCAAACCACTCAACCACCCAACGCCCCACCACACAATTGTCCATCGACTGTTGTTGTTGTCGTCTACAATTGTAATCTTGTTTTTGTTGTTATTGATGTTGTTGTTCAGCTCCTGCCCGACATTGTAATTGTAATTTATTTGCCTTTGCTCCGTTCAAGGACAAACATATCTATGTATATATGTATCTGTATACATATATATATACAGGTGCTCCACGCACGGTTAACCACAGACATCGAGAGCAGACAGACAAACAGCGCAACCAGAGCAAAAAAAAAAGAAGAAAAAAGACAAAACAGGGATGCTATTTATACAGTGAACCCATTGGAAATGCCTGAAAAGGGTATATTAGAGTTGTGCAAGAGTTGGTCGTAGGCAATCTCTCATAAATATATATATATAACCCTGATCATCATCAACAGCCGAGTCGAGCTAGCCATGTCCGTCTGTCTGTCTGAGAAAACGGAACTAGAAACTTGAAATGTAGAATATAAATTTACGTAGAGCAAGTCAAGCTTGAAAGAGAGAAAGAGAGATAAAGAATGAGATGTGAAATAAAGGAAAGATAGGCAAATCTATTAAACCGTCGAGCTGATTATAGGGTAACTGCTAGTCGAGCTCTCTTTCGACTGGGGCAGTCCTACTAGTCTCTTGGTGTTCTTGCTGCAGTTGTCTGTGTGAGTCTCCGTGTGTGTGTGTGCCTGAATTACAATTTAATTACTTTGGAAGTCCTTGCGGGACTTAAGGGATCAAGGCGACCTCCATTGAGTCAGCGTATTTATGTATTTATAGCGCACTTCTTTTCAATCAAGTGCCGCACGCTTGCCCCACATCAACAACAACAGCAACAACGGCAACAACAACAAGTAAAGTCTGTGGCTTAAAACCGCACCGCGGCAATCCTTAAAACCTTCCTGTTGACGACCCACAGAACACACTGAATCCACAATCCTAGCCAGCTTGGTTATAGAATCATTAGAATGTTATTAAATGTCAACTTGTGTGTGTCCCTCTCTCTCTCTCTCTCTCTCTCTGTCTCTCTCGCTCATAGTAAACCCAAATGCCCGAGGCATTGATACTACTCGGCATGGCTGACGCAGAGCCAGATCTATCAACGTTCGAGAATAAAACGGGACTTGCCGAGGACATGAAGTTCCTGGCCTCAATGCCCGAGCTGTGCGATGTTACCTTCCTCGTTGGGGACACCCGCGAGCCCGTCTGCGCCGTCAAGGTGAGTGTGTGTCCGGAGTGTGTGTGTGTGTGTGTGGATGAGTGTCCATGTGTTGAAATCAGGTCACTGCGTAATCGACGCAGCATCATCAAACTGATGACGATGAAAGCCTCAATTACACAGCTCATTCTCATCCTCATCGTCATCCTCATCCTGTTGTTGTTGCTTACAGGCTGTGCTTTCGTCGCGTTCCCGCGTTTTTGCCAAAATGCTTTATGCAGCACCATCGCCGCAACGGAAGAGGGAGACCACCACCAAGGAGAACAAGCTGCGACTCTTCCTCAAGCGCTCCTCGGAGCCGCTGTTGAATCTACAGAATGCGGCACAACAGGTTCGTATATTGCATATCGATTATATGAGCGAGGGGTCTCTGAATACGCTGCGGGGAGGGAGAAGTCCTTTTTTTCCCATGCTGTATACAATATAAAAATGCCAATGTGTATTTAGATGTGTGTGTCAGCGAGTGTGTGTGTGTCTGTGTGTGTGTGTGTGTGTGTATGTTTGTTGATTGGGGCATCCTTCGCATATTTACAAAGTATTGTTTTTCAGTTCTCATTTTTCAATTGATATTTTCTGTACATTTGTTGTATATACTACAAAAGGAAACTAAATCAGTTTTATTAATAATATATATCTATGTCATTTTTTTTCGTGTATTCTCTGTTGTGAATCCAACTCCCAACCATCCATCCAAAACATACTAAACTCAACTAAAAAATAAATACAAAAATAAACCCATAATAATAGAGAACCGGTTTCACCCAACAATTAGCACCGATACCCGAGGTAAACGCTTCTAAAACCCAAACCAACAATAACTCTATTGTGTATGTGTTTGTGTATATGTATGTGTTTGTGTATGTGTATGTGTATGTGCGTGTGTGTGTGTATCTCGTAATTACCTAGTTACTACTACCTGTGTGCTAGCAACAGCGCAGGGAATCAAATTGCATCATCAACAATTATTTACTTATTATTATTATATAATCTTTTTCAAATCTCGATAACTCCACTCAGCAAAAAAGCGCACTAAAATGTAGAACATTTTCCTGTTTTTGGCACCTTATTATTCAGAAAGCATATATCTTCATTAAAGGGTTGTTTTTGTTTCCAAGAAACCAGCGTTTTTCTTTGCTTGATTCCAGCGCAAATTTTTATTTAAATTTGGAAAAATTATGACTTATATTTCTGTTAGTTTTCATGGCGATTCCTTTTCTGAGTGTAGTTAACCTACGCCAACTTATAATTTACGCTCACAGCTCTCTTGCCACATCTCTCTTGCCACATCTAATCTAATTTCTCTAACCGATCCTGTTGCACTTTACTTTAGATTAGTAACACAATTGCCCGATTATTGATCTATCCACATAAATGTTGTGTATCTCTCTGCCTGTGCATCAACTGAAGCTATCGTTGCTTATCAGCTTCAAGTAGACATATCCCAATCCAGTTGCCTCTCCATTATTTCTACTTAATCATAAATATTATATATTTGTAGTGGGTATTATAATATTGACTTGTTGAGTAGACGTCTCCGTCATCCTCAAGTATATGTAATCTTGATCTGCTGATCAATAGCCGAGGCGATATAGCCATGTCCGTCTGTCTGTCTGCTTTTATACAAGCCAATCCCTCTCTTTTAAAGCCATCTTCATGAACCTTGGAATATATATCCTACTTTTCGGTACAGGCAGCTCGTATAACTATATCATATATCAGTCTAAATCAGACTACTATATTATATAGTTTGTTGTTTTTTATTTCGTAGTAAAATTCAGAAGATAACAATTTGACTTCGTTTTATTGGCTAAGTTTTCGTTCATTCTTTTTGAAATTATATTATTAGAGTAACTTGTTGGCGTATTAATTATACGGCTTATGTTTTTGTACTATTCAGTTGTCTTGTGCGTAACTTGTTGGCCGTAGTTCTATGTATATTGTAGTCCATAGATATATATATATATATACATAGATCGGGGAAATCATTTGCTAATCTCAGCATTGTATGACTTTATAGCCCTCAGGTCAACAGCATCAGACGCTGATCATTGAGGAGTTTGAACCTGATGTCTTCCGTCAGCTCATTGAGTACATTCACACGGGGTGTGTGACCCTTCAGCCCCGCACCCTGCTGGGTAAGTTCCATTTGTTTATTTATTTAAGAAGGTAATAAATTAAATTAACAAGTTATATTTATATATAATAACTTGTCTTTCGACCTCACTAAAATGTAATTTAACTCCAAACATATATTAGCATATTAGCATATTATAATCTTATTCTAATCTATCTCTGAGTTAATTTAGACTTTTAAATGGGTTGTTTTTTTTGCGTTTTCCCAGGCGTAATGAATGCTGCCGATTATTATGGTTTGGAGGAGCTGCGTCGCGCCTGCGCCGGCTTTGTCCAGTGCTGCATCAATGTGGACACCGTTTGCGCTTTGCTGGCATCCGCTGAGCGATACATTCAATACAAGTGCACCAAGACGCTGGTGCAGAAGGTGCTCGAGTTTGTCGACGAGCACGGCAACGAGGTCCTCAATCTGGGCAGTTTCACGCTGTTGCCGCAGCACGTCGTCCGTTTGATACTGGCCCGCGAGGAGCTTCGCGCCGATGAGTTTACCAAGTTCCAAGCGGCGCTCATGTGGAGCAAAAAGTACTACGATAATAATCCAGTAAGTTGAGTAAGAAATATGTGAAAAGAATTTGAATTAACATTGAATAATATACCGCTTAGAACATTGACATCAAGGAGATATTGGGCACATTTCTGGAGTACATCCAATTCCATAAGATCCCCGCTAATGTGCTGATGCGTGAGATTCATCCGTTGAATCTGGTGCCATATGCGATTATAATGAATGCTCTGGCCTATCAGGTGGGTTCTGTGTGGCTTATTTGTCCATGTTTTGTGTGGACTGTTATTGCTTTTGTGGTCTGTGTGTTAACTCAGCATTCATTCATGCTTCATCATTTCTATCCATCTCTCCATCTGTCTGTGTACTGTTCATCCATACATCCATCCAATCATTTGTCCATTTGCTCATTTGTCCATCCAAACATGTGTCCATTTGTCGTCATCACATCGCCACCTATGCTATCCATCCCTGTTGTCCCCCTTTATGTCTGATTCTACAAATTGCAGGCAGACCCAGAAAGCATCGACCCCGGAAAGCTGTCTCCCAACTCTAGCCGAGTAAGGCGGGCCCGCCAAAACCAGGGCCGATCGATGTCCGTGCAGAGCTCCCTGGATCCGTACGGTTCGAATACGACGCTCAGCTCGAGCGGCAGCAGCGATCCGACGAGTGGACCGCATCACAGCAACTAACATAGGTTGAACGGCCCCTCCTCCTCCTCATCTGTGTCCCACACCCAGCACCAGCACCATCATCGACATCGCCACCACCATCAGTCCCTGCCCAAGATCCGTAAGGCCAAATCCCAATCGTTCCGCACACGACGCAGTCCATCCGAACGTCGCAGTCCCAATGCCACCCCAGCCGCTGCACCCATCCTCATGCTGAACACCAGCAGTGCTGCCAACGGTGGCGGCGAAAAGAAACGCAGTCCACTCACAACGCCCGTTCAGCCGGAGAGTAAAAGTCCGGGCAGCACCTCGCAGAAGACACCGACATCGCTCTCGCGCCAGGGCACGCTGCGTGCCTCGAGCCGCCGCAAGAACAGCGGGCAGTTGACCATTTCGCTGGGTGCTGCAGCGCAGGGACGACGCAGTCCGGTGGGTCACAGCGATCGCAGTCCGCAGGGTCGACGCAGTCCACTCTTCCCCACCAGCACCAGCAGCGGTCTGCGTTCGCCCAACGATCAGCCCAGTCCGACCGCCCGCAGTCCCACGGGAGATTCGCAGCGCAAGAGTCCCACATTTAGCATACAGACACAGGAGCGTCGTTCGCCACTCGGCGCTGTGGCACCCACGGACTTTGGCTGCCAGGCTGGACGTAGTCCGATATCAACGGTGCATGTACAGGATATGGCCACCGAACCGGAGGAGACGGGTTTTATGTTGGGTGGACTGAAGAGGCCATCGATCAATCTGTTTACGCCCATCTATTTTGGCAGCGAGAAGCGTAGCCCGATGGGCGTTATACCGCCCATACTCGTCTCCAATCCCGCCGAGACGTACAAGAGTGCCGAGCGTGAACGTGAGGCGGCCGTGGCAGCAGCTGCCCAGGCAGCCGCCGCCGCCGAGCGCGAAAAGGAGTCCGCCCAGCCGGAGAAGAAGAGTGTGATGCGTGAAATACTGGCCTTTGTCCGCAAACCCTCCAAGCACATCTCGACGCGCACGAACCGGTTTGCCAATGCATTTACACGTGCCGAGTCCGGCTCGTCGGGTGGCCCACTCATCCGGCAGAGCACATTCTCTGCCAGTCCGGCTGCCTCATCGACGGCGGCGAAGAGTGCTGTGCAGAAGCAAATGTCCGAGGTGGGATTCGAGCCAAAGATGTCGTTGAAATTTGCGCATTATACGAAAATGTCGCTGAAACTGCGTCGATTGGCGCGTCGCCAGGAGGAGGAGGACAAACAGCAGGAGAAGCAACCATCGGCGGCGGGTTCGAAGCGTGCCAGCGTGGATTCCACACAGCCGGAGCAGCAGCAGGTAGGTGGCGAAGCGCAGGCGAAGGCGAAGGCCAAGGAGGAGGAGCCGCCATTCGAGCTGGCCAATGTGCACTTTGAGAAGGTAGGTGAGTCCTATATCAAGCATGAGCGACTACGCGAACTGGTCGAACCCGAACTCGAGCACGAAACGAACGACAGCGATGACGATAACGATAACGACAGCGATCAGGATATCGATAACGATCTTGAGCCGGAACAAACGGATGCTGCCATGGCACAATTTGTGGAGGAGGTAACCAATTCTTTGAAGGTCGTCGCACTCAATGGCGATAACAATGGTGTTGGCAGTGTTGGGAATGGCAGTCTGCCCGCTGCCGTGCATCATTTCACACGTCGCTCCGAGAGCCGGGAACCGATTGAGCCGCGCATCAGCGAGGAGCGCGAATCCGATTCGATGGATCTGATTCTGCCGGAGGAGTTGCGGGCCGAATTGGTTGAAATTTTGAAGGTCTACGCACCAGAGCCAATTTATGTTAATCTGCAGGCGCTGCGGCGTGAAATCCTCGACGAGGATGTGGAGGCGGTTGCAGCCGCTGCGGCTGCTGCGGAAGCGGAAGCTGCTGCTGCTGCTACTGCAGCTGCTGCTGTTGCCACTTCCGCTGCTGCTGCTGCTTCAGCTGCTGCTGCTGCTGCTGCTGCTGCCAGTTCCGCTTGTGCTTCTGGTGCTGCCTGCTTGCCGGAGAAGCTACCGCTGCAGTGTCCTACTATTGAGTTTGAGCCGCCATCGCGTCGCTCCTCCTTTGATCCGCCCCGCTCCCCCTTTCTCGAGCAGCTGCGCAGTCCGGGCGTCGACACCGAAACGGATCTGATCAATTTGCAACGTCTCGATTCGGGTGGCGACAGCTTTGAGCTCGTCGAAGGGGATCGCAAATCGAGCCGTGCCGAATCCAGTTTCGATTGTCCCTACTCCTCGCGTGACACCAGCTTCGATGTGTCCATCTCCCGCTACCAATCGACCAGCTATGAGGATCAGACCTCTAGTTTTGAAATAGTCGACACCGATGATCGGCATCGGCGTCACATCGACTTGCGCAAGAGTTCCATTGAGCTGGTCGATGCGGAAACGTTTCAGCGTTCCGGTTCGTCGTGCGGCCGCAAATCCTCACTGGAGACCCATTTCGATTATACGCCCTCGGAGGCGAGCGGGATGACGCCCGCCCGTTCGCCCAACTTCCCGATGACCAAGAAACAGAAGGCGGAACACTTTCGCCAGCTGCACATCTCGCCGTTCAGTGCCTTCTCGCGGGCACGCAGCCCCCTCTCGCAGCAGACCTCCTCGAATTATAGTTCCCGCGATAGCTACGATTCCAGCTCGAGCTATCCGCATGGACATGAGCTGGCGCAGCGTAGTCCATACGCTGATCCCAGCAAGAAACACTTTCCGCTTACGATCAAGCAGCGCGAGCAGGAGGAGGTGAAGACCTTCCTCTGCACCGATGTGCGTTGTGCCTCCATTTTTGAGCCGCGTCCCAGTTCGGTGCTCACCCAACAGCTGTCGACGGGCTCGATGTCAACGCCCTCGGGTTCCGGCTATGCGCCGCGCATTCCCAGCATTGCGGGTGCTGGCAACAGTGTGGCAATGGCTGTTAATAATAATGGTGTCGCTGCTGCTGCTGCTGCTCTTGTCTCACAGCCGCATCCGGTTGCTTCGCTCGGTTCGTGCGGCTTTTCCAGCGGCAGCGAATTTGAGCCACCCTCGCCGAGACGCGCTGCCAGCGCCTCACCCAAACACACCTTCACCTTTCGCATCGTGATGAAGAAGGTGGACAGCTCGCCGGAAGCACTGTGCCCGGAACGGCATCGGTCACGCATCATCGATCGCTACCGTAGGCGAGATAGTCGCCGCAAGCGCATCCACGATGCCGGCAAGAGTTTCTAGATAGAAAACGCTAATCAAAACTGAAAGAAAACCTCATTTTTGTATCTTATGATCAACTTTTGAATCCCACGTCAGCAATCACTGCACACTCTGAAAACAAGTCGAGCTGAAATCTAGAAAATTGCCATACTTTAGATAATTGTCAGAAAGTTAATTTCTAAAAGGAAAACTTAATTTATTATTATATTTATATTAGTATATTTATAATAAACATTTTGTATTATTAATATATACTAACATTTTATATATTTTATGAATTCTTATAATTTATTTTAGAAAAGTATCGATTTTATATATTTTATTTCATATTTTTTACTTCTTTTAGGGAGTACTTTTTCGCTGATTGTTAGAAATATGTTTCTTAATAAAAGCAAACGTTTCTTAAAAAAGACTTTCCAATTTTATGAAACTTCTTTTCAAATATTTAGAAATTATTTCTAAAAACAATGCGATATTCAATTTAGGGGCGATTTTCCAAAATTCAATGCGATTTTTTTCCGAGTGGATGTCTGTCCTAGATCGATAGAAACCGTTCTCACTAGGCATACAATTTTTGACAATCTACGTGTTAATATTCGATCCAAGGGTTTTATACATATATATATATATATATATATATATATATATATATATATATATATATATATATATATATATATATTCTCTATATATGTATGCAATTGCAAATCTCTCTAATCGTAAGTTATATCTGAAGAAATCTGAAGAACTCAATGCGAACATCAAACTTTATAAAATGGTTCTGGTTTTTAGGCCGTTTCAAAAATAAAAAAAAAACTCTAAGCTAAGTTATACTTGTCTTTGGCTACAGCCAAAGTTAATATACCCTTGAATATATAGATATAAGCATATATATACGATATATTTAAAACATGTAGGTTAAGTCAGTTCATTTTCATATTTAGGCTAGTTTTCTTCACTTCATCTAAGAAACAAAAAATTTGGTTAATGCTTGCAAGGTACAAACTAAAATTTACATATTTGAAAAGTAAAGAAAAAAACAAAATCTTGTTTGATAAGGCAAAGAAAAGAAAAGAAAAGAAAGGAAAAAAACATAAATATTCTAAAGATCTACAAATGTATGTGAAACAATAATTCCTCCCACGATTTACCTGATTACTAATTAAACAATAGAAAACATTTATACACATTATGTATGCATATGCAATAAATGATGTATGCCTGAATGAAAAGTGAAAAATTATAAATGATAAATGTACGCAAACAAGTTGATAACTAAATGTTGTAATGTTTGTGGTGTATTATAAACAAATATTACGAGTATTTGCGCATTTTACGTGGTTCCTGTTATATAGATATATTATATATTAAAAATTTTTTGATGGACTAGCTAGTAGTTTATAATATTGTTAAAATGACAAAAATAAGTGTAAATGATCAATTCTATATGTAAAAAATGCTGCTATTGCAAGAAACAATGTTTTTTGCTTACTTTTAAGACTTGACAAAAATCAGACAAAATTCAAATTTGCACAGACGATATATAGTGTATATTATATGTATATATATATATATGTGTGCATGTAAATATAAAGCTGGATTTGGGGCCGTACTTAAATCTTAAATAAAAAAACGTTTGTGCCGAAAAAACTATTAGAGAAAAAAAAAATAATGTATTCAAAGAAACAAATGAAAAAAGAATCTAAAGAAAAATATTTATAAAATTAATATTTCAAGTTGTTTGAGCAGTTTTTTGGACTCCGTGTTTGTTTGTTAAATGAAAAAGAAAAAAACTCTATACACATATATTTAAGCAATCTATGTGGTGTCTAAAGATCATTTAGTTATAAGCTATTTATATTATACATCATCTGTCATCATAATTTAGAAGATTGTAAGCTAAAGAAAGAAAACGAAAACTAAAAGATATCAACATTTTACAGGTATTTACGCATATTAAGCATTTAATTCTAGTTATGGTATTGATATTGATATTGATATACATATATATATACATATATATATTATTATTATTATTATTATTATTATATACATTAATGTGTTTACACGACACGAGCCACATATATATTGTAGTATCTGATTGTGTATCCATTTATATATGGTATGCGATTTATTCGATTGACTAACATGAATGCAAGTAGTTGAAATGTTGCCATTTTGATTTGTAGTTGCTTGTTTTTGACTAAAATTAAAAACTAAAAACTAAATAACTAAAACCAAAACGCTTGACTAAATTCGTAGTACTCGAAAGCGATACCAAAACAATTTTTTCATTTGCCTGTGAATGCCAAAACGATCGAGAGTAAGAAAGAGTATTTTAAACAAAAGCACACAACTACAAATTTTACAAAAATCAAAAATCAAAAAAACAACAACAAAAAACAAAATGCGACTTTCTTCTATTTACAGAATTGTTTTCTAGCGGATTTTGTTGCAACCGATCAAATTCAATTTGGATGTGGAACACAACACGTATGTGGAGACGTGGCCCAAACGCATTTCTCAAATAGTAATCAAATTAATTATATATATATACAAATTACTGAATTGTAAAAGACACAAGAGTGTTGTGTGTTGTGTTCAGTTTAGTTGAGTTCAGTTACCCGAGTCAAAGTCAAAATCCAGAGTTCTATCGTTCAAATTGTTATATATATATATATATATATATATACTTTTGCATTTGAGACCGTTGTGTGTGTCGTTTATCGTTACAGTTATCGAACTATCATAAGTATTATATATACGCTATATGTTTGTGTATTTGAGGGCTCAACATTCGTTTAGTCAAACACAGAAAAGAAACCCCAAAGAAATTATACTTTATGTGCGTTTTATTGTATTATTGACAAACCAAAACAAAAAAGAATAAATTCCAAATCAATGTCGTTATTTGAAATCGAATCTTTTTATAGTTTGGCATCTGCGTGCAGTGCAAGAACACCATCGAATTCATTGGCAAGAATGCTAATGTGGCCATAGCCATTGTTGTCCACACTCACTGTTTTGCCTGTACAGGAGCCATTGATTAAATTGCCCGAGATGACATCACAATATTTACCAGCCGGCAGGCAAGTTTTCAAAATTTCAGACAAATCATAATTATCATTGTTGAAGGCAACGAATCCCTTGGAGCCACGACAGAAAGCGATCTGATTATTACCATTATCCCACCAATTGTTGAAGTGTGTGCCACGCACAGCATTCTTAAACCCGACCATATTGTAAATCTGTCGCCAGCGATGCTCACAGACCCAGCCATTTGTACAAGCGCCATCTGCATCGAATTCCGGTGAGATGATCCGTTCCTGGCTATCCTGAGGCGGTGCCTGATCCCGATTGTCAAAGTCAAAGGAGCTCATCACCTGACTGATGCCATAGGGGAAGGCCAAATGGAAGGCGGTGGCCATTTTATATTGCTTGGCAGACTTATAGTTCAACTCCTGGCCACCATCACGCTGATTATCATGATTGTCGACAAAGGTCAGCGCCTGATTGGAGGGCAGGAAACCCCAGCTTTCGCCCCAACTTTGCAGCCACTTCAGCGCATTGTTTCCACGGAATGCTTTGCCAATTTCCTCGGAGACACGGAATTCGGTGACGGCACCCAGATCTGTGTACTCATCGCGGGAAACGGTCTCATGGCCATGATCGATGACCTCCTGGTAGATGAAGGGACGAGCGCCATTGGGGAAACCATGATCGGTGTTCAGATCGCGCATGCTATTGAAAATTACCTAAGGAGAAGGAGAAAGAGATGGATTACTTGTGGAAATCGTTAAAGATCTCTCACAGACTCACCCTCAAATCATCGGCAGCCATGTGCTTGGCGGCATCCACACGGAAACCAGCCACGCCCAGCGTAATCAGATGATCCAACACCTCAATGAGCTTATCGCGCACGTAAGCCTTGCTCTGATCCAGATCCTTCAAGCCAACAAGTTCGCATTGCTGCACCTGGAAACGATCGTTCCAATCGAAGATCTCACAGCTAGGATGGAAATCCGTGGTGGTATATGGGACAGCTGGGAAGGATTTGGTGCTTGGCTCGGCCACAGAGCCACCAGTGCCATGAGCCGTGCCCGGAAAATCACCAGACATATGATTGAGCAGCACATCCACATAGATGCGAACGCCAACATCGTTGCAGCGACGCACCATCGAGGCGAACTCCAGTTCGTTGCCGGAGCGGGTGAGCAGCTTGTAGGAGATGGGCTGATAGCGTTCCCACCACGGGCGACCCTCCGAAATTATGTTCTCAGCCACCGGACTGACCTGAATGCCGGCGTAGCCATGTGGCGCCAGGAAATCCTCACATTCCTGCGCAATATCATCCCATTTCCATTCGAAGAGGTGAACGATGGTGTTGCGATTGCCCCACCACTGTGGATTGTGCTGGGCCAGCGCCAACGTGGCCAACAGACAGACTAACGTTAAACGAAGCATGTCCAACAAGCTAATAATACTATCTACGACGACACGATCCGCTTTTATAGTTGCCATATCTTATCAGCTCTTCATGGGGGATTTGCTTCGTGGAGTGCCAATTTACAGCCGGGCGGCAATTGGGCGATTTATGATTGCCATGGCCATCGGGCGTGTTGACCTATGTTAATAGAGTAAAACACGTCAAGAATTACAAATAGCAACAAAATTTCATAAAATTCACCTACTATATGCATTATAAATTTTCCATGCATTTTGTTTCACTTGAAGACAGTTGCAATTAAAAAGTAAGCTTTTTACACATTCTGATGTACAATCTAATCAAGGAAAAAAATTAAAGAGTAGAATATCAAACACCCTGCACTTAGAAAAAGCCAAAACATTTTAATTTTCTGAATTATAATATAATTTTCATTCGCTTTTCTTAATTTAACTTCACTTTATACATAAATAAATGTCGTTTTCTTTAAAATACTTTCATTTGAATTTAAATTATATCGAAATGCGCGCGTGACTTATCATCGCAACACTATTGTCTTGTCGATATATCGATAAATGTTCAGTCATTGTATTAATTTCGCGTTGTTCGGGTTATTTAGGGAAATTGTTTCAAATGGTAAATGAATATTGTCCGAGTTAATGGTAAATAAAAGCAGCAGCAGCCTTTGCTGTTTAGTTTGTTTAAAGCTGTGTTAAAGTTAAGCGGACAAGTGCGTGAAATGTTGCTGCGCTCGCTGCAATGTTTCAAAGATAAGATAGATGTTGCTAAGCCGAATGGAATGTTGTAGAGCCAAAATGTTGCAACAGTTTGCTGCTAATGTTGCAAAGCTTAGATAAATGTTGATAAATTAAACCAAAATGTTGTCCACAAACATGTTGCTAGAGAGTATTGCAACTTCGGACTTACAAAATTTCGCCTTTATTCGTGCTTTTATTTAAATCTGGTAAATTATGATTTGATGTTCGGCTTGCTTATCAATAAGACACATATTAGTTACGACCCGAGATGTAGAAAACCGATTTCGCTGGTAGGCTATTTTCGGCAACTGTCCAGGCAACATTTGGACGTCGATGCGAGGCAAACAATTTCTGTCTCGCTCGACATTCCTGTACATAATTTCTGCGCAATATCACCGTAAAATAATAGATAATCTCCACAAGCGATAACATGCTCATGCCCACGAACAGGCTGAAGGCGCTGCCCAGATTTGCTGCCAATCGAATTTCCATCGATTAAATAGGTTTACGCCTGTCTATCGACAATTTCAACTTACAGACTAGGGTGACCATGTTTGTTAATAGATCCACGCGCACTCGTCGATAAACCTGCGAGTTGACAAATATATGAACAATGGCATCTTTATCCTCAATGCCATCGCTAGAAAATTAAATAAAATATTCAATTATTTTATGGACTGTTTTTAAATTATTAATAATTTTCAGAATGTAGTTAAGACTCACTAGAAAGCATCCACGACGGGCATGTTTAATGTTAGAGCAAAATTCGAGACCTGAACATCGTAGTCAAAATGCTCACAGCACAAAGGGCAAGTGCACTGTGACTTCTTCTTTCGGGTTATAATATCCGCTATAGGATAAGAAAACAGCTTAAATAAGTATGCCCGGTCATTAATTGAAATACCTACGAAAGTTGTCCACTAGACAGGGTATATCGCGAAAGGTGCAAACGCGATCTTTGGTGCGATTGAACTCAAAGAAATACGTGAGACACTTGCACAGTTTAACCATATTCATAGCTCGACAATTGAGCTCACAATTGGGATAAACATAGTCGGCAAAGTATTGCAGTTGAAATTCGTGGTCAAAGACACAATTCCGCTCCTCAATGGACAACGCTTTGACTGCCTCCGAGCAGAAGGTCTCCACAACTCGAAGCGTGGCAAATGATTCCGTGTTGAGACCGAGAAATTTAATATTGGCGTGTGCGCTGGGAAATGCATCCGTCTCCTGGATGAGCAGCTTGAAGCCATGCGAATAGGATTTGAGGGAATCATAGTTCTCGTCCTTGTAGCGCAGTATCAGCGAGAGGCCATTTTCCATTCCCCCAGCAGCCTGTTGGCCAGTGAAATTGACACTAAAAGAGCTTAGAGTGTTTTAATGGAGAGAGTGAACGACTAAGCTGATGCCCTGTAAACAGCTACAATTTGATTGTATATAACTTATAAAATCGAACACAACTTTATATACCCTTCGCGTAGTGGAGGCATCCACTTGGTTTCTAGTTGACTTACCCGTGCTGTCGCAAATTGAAAGAGCAACAATGGCCGAAGAAAGTCTGGGACAGTTGAAACAATCTCGAACAGTCCATAATATCACCATGATAGCGACAACGATGCAGAATCTCATTGCAATCCCAGCGCAGTTGATGGACAAACTGAACCATTGTCAGATTATTTGTGAGCAGCACGGATTCCATTAGCTCAATCTCTTCCGGAGCGAAGCGTGCATCATCCAACATGAAACCACTGAAGATGTGCAAATGCCCCAAAATATCCGCCACCTGAACACTTTGCGGTAATTTGCTAAGAAGGTTAATTTCATTGAGTGGAGGCAGTGCATCGATTCGATCGAGAATTATAATTTAAGTTGGTGTCTGCTACTCACAGTGTTTCAATGAATGCCCGCGACTTGTCCATGTTGAACAGCACCTCCGGGCAGATGGTAATGGGTGGAAAGTAGATTTTACTCACTGGCGTATGATCGCTCTCCACATTCATCCGTGTCGGACTGCTCCGGTAGTCCGCATAGAATGTTTGCGTCATCACAATCGCACAGGCGAACATCACCACTGAGATGAGGATCCACACAAAGTGCACAATTCGATTTGTGTCCCTGTCCCGGATGTATTTCAATCCATGTATGCTGCTCGTGGCACAAAAATCACACCACGTTCGCTGGAGTGCTCCACGTAAGGGGGTTATCTTTGTATTGATTTGCTCCGGACTTAGTTCCTCTTCGTGACCCATTGTGCTACTTAAACGAAGCTTCAACTTGTCTGTCCTTTTATATGTACATATTCGAGTGGGCGTGGCCAACATTTGACAGTCGTACAACGGTTTATTAATATCAAATTAATGTTTGGGAGAGGTTAGGGACCCCCTATCCCTAAACTATCTCAAGCTAGATGTAGCAACTTCCACTAATTGAATGTTGTCCGCCCAATTTCGAATACCTCATGATGTCGTAACTCTGTCAAACGTGAATTGATTTTCAATATTCAGGCAATTTTGCTTAGGGTTTAGATAAATGCTGCACTTAAATATACTAAAATATTAAAATACTATAAAATATAAAAATTCTGGCAACAAATCAACTTGGGAACAGCTTAAAACTTGCCAATGCCATTGCTTTATCAAAACTCAACCGATTTTGGAAAGTAGTATATTTCTATGAATGGTTTGAACTCTAAATGAAAACTACATTCGAAGTTGAAAATATGATTCTGGCTTGATTTTCATATTAAAAAATGCATATTGACTGATCAATTGTAAAACTTTCATTAAAATCGAATAAGAAACGCCCATTTTGATAACCAATATATATTTTCATATTGAACAAACTACAATTGGCAAGCATTTTATATATTTAAAAGCAGAGTATCTTCGATTCGGGCTCTCTCGACTAGAGCATTCTACACTTAAATGGCTTGTTGATAATATTCACACATTAAAACTCTGCGAGTAAATCAATTTCGATTTCATTTATTTATTCCTTAAGATAATGCCCCCAAGAAGATAAAAAACAGGCAAGCTCCGACTCACCCAACAACTCAATAAAAAACTACAACTGTTTCTGGTTAAATACTCGTATTTGACTCGAGTCATAAAAAGTCATTCAAGGTTGGCATTTAGCAGTTATAAATTTTATTTTGCAAACGTTTTTATTTTTTTATTTTTTTTTAGTGTCTTTTGCTTGTACGTTGAATTGTTTGCAAATACACACACAGACATAATAAATATATATGTGTATAGAAATATTATAGAAATATTAATAATATATACGTAATTAATTGTAACAATGTTATTTCTTAATGCACTTCAAGTGTGAATTGACATTATGTAAAGAAAAACAAAAACTAAACTCTTTTTGCTATCACAATGGAAAACTACGCATTTTAAATGGTAGACAATTGAATACCCTGCTGCAGGCACTGCCAAAAATTTTACAAAATGTGACCGATTCTTAAATTGTTTTTATTTTTAATGGAGTTTTATTGTCTTTTTTTAAATAAAGTTTTTTTGTGTCTGCCGGGCAATGCTAATGAGCTAATAACAACTTTTCGCGTAAACTAATAATGCACTAAAACAAAGACTTATAACTAGTTGTGTGTAGTGTAGGGTAATGATAACTAGGCTATTACTGTCTAGGACTCGCTGGCAGTTATGGCCAACGGCCCCGTGTTGCCATTGCTCAGCCTTGCGTCCTGATTACTGCTGCTGCCCGCCGGCTCCAGACTCGGCTTCTGCTCATCATTCTCGGGATTGTCCCAGAACTGTCGCACGCCGGAGCCGAAGATGTTGTAGAACGTGCCGCAAATGATGTACACGAAGGCGGCAATGAAGAACACTATCTGCCACTGACCCATTGTGGGCTAAATAAAACGAAAAACAATTTGAAAATCGGTACAAAAATAGGCATTTTTTTTACTTCAGTGCTTACCTTATTATTGATCAAATTGCCGGCTGCAATGGGCGCCAGGAGACCCGCCAAATTAGCCGAGCAATTCGTGATGGCCATCAGGAAGCCGGCGAAGCGTGGCGTCAAGTCCAAATGATTGATCTTAAAGCCCGAATAGATGCCGCCATTTAGGCCAACACCGACTGTGAGTATGGCCAAGGTCAATGCACGATCACAGCCCGTATACGAGGCGGCTATCAGCGCAAGGCCAGGTCCATATTGGCCAATACTGTTGATTATCTTTCTCGTCGCCGTCAGCGAGAAACGCTTTGAGCTAATCATCCAATCAGCCACCACCGAGATGAACATCGAGAAGAGCCACATGGCCAAATAGGGCAACGCACTCAGCATTCCATTCGATTTCAGGGAGAAGCGCAACACCTGCTTCATGTACGTGGGCAGTTCCGTCATCAGTGTCTCGTAGCCATAGTTGTGACCCATGTGTGCGAACAGAATCGCGTAGAAGGGCAGCGATTTCATTATAGCCTTGAACGGAATCGGAGGACTCTGAAGCGTGGCAAAGAATGAGAAAGAGGGAAGAGCTTTAGTTTACTGTTTTCCGAATACTGTTCATGCTCCCCGCATAAGTGAAGAAATTCGAATGATTGCTCACCTTGATGACATCCGTACCCCAGAGGGAGTCGTTAATGTATCGCTTCTCGCGCTCATCGATGCGCGGATGCGTCGAGGGATCCTCAAAGACCAGAATGAGGAAGGCGATGGACCACAGCGTACCAACGACTCCAAACACATAGAAGATCGACGGCCAGCCGCCGGAGAAGCCATATTCTGCCAGCAGACCCGACAACGGCATCGAGATAATTGTGCCAAACTGAGCGCCAGCATAGACAGCGGCACCCATTCGAGATCGTTCATTGGGCGGCACCCATTTGGCGAGCAAGGCATGCGTGCAGGGCACAATGGGACCCTCGCCAAGACCCTGAATGAAGCGAACGGCACACAAACCATAGACGCCACCCTCGCGAGCTGCCACAGGCACCAGGAAGGCAAACACTGAATTGACCAGCATGCCCCAGCCAAGGAAACGCATAGCGCCATATTTCTTGGCCAAGATGCCAAAAGGAATCTGGGTGATCACATAGCCATAGAAGAACGAGGACAGAATGTAGCCCTGCAAACTGGAATTCCAAGCAAACTCGCCATCCTCACCGTTGTCCTGTAAATGGAATTCAAAGCGGGTTGATTCAATATTAATGCACACATAAAGAAATAGACCTGCAACTGATTGTATTCACGAGTGTTTTACTTTGAATACTTACCACTTCGAGTTCACGATCGCCGCATTCATCGTCCAAGATTTCTTCGCCGTGTTGAATTGCCGTATGATTGACCATTGCCACAATTGCAACGGACATATTTGTGCGCATCACGTAGGCGTTGGCCATGCCCAGAAAGAGCATGAATGTGACAAAGTAGCGGGTGGTAGCCCAACCTGAATAAAAAAAGAGAGAGAAAGAGACGTTACTCATATGTAATACACATTACAGAGAGAGAGCGAGAGAGAGAGAGAGAGAGAGAGAGAGAGAGAGAGAGATAGAGTGAAAGAGAGAGAGAGAGAGAGAGAGAGAGCTGCACAATTGGATCATCTTTTAATTACATCTGCAAAATCTGTCCGCATTCATTTGCGACAAGGTCTCAAAACGGAAATGACTAAACTAGCCAAAAAGATACAAATACTCATATATGTATATATATATAAGATTCAGTGTGAAACGAGGTCACAGTTATAAGATATAAGATATATGATAAGCCAGTGAATAAGTGTCGCAGTGTCTCTAACGGCTTATTCAGTTGCATGTTAAGCTCGCAGATGAGATAAGATTATACATGTATATATATATATAGTATGCAGCATATAATATATTAAGTGACTCAATTGCCGCACGTTTCTAGCTATGAAATCATTGCTGCTCGTCTCGCTTCGAATCTATTTCGAGGCATACCCATTAGAGTCGTAATAAGCCAATGTTTTTGTTGTTGCTCTTTCTTTTTTATTTTTTGCATATATGAGCACAACAAAAAAAAACAAAAAAATAGTTGTTTGTTGATATTGCCGAGTCATGCGACAAGTTTTGTGCCCGTGCGAGCAACACGTGATATTTAATGTCTTTTGGGTGCGGAAAGTCTGAAGCTTATTTGGAGCCGAGTCATAAAAACTATCGTGACAACTACCACTTAAAGGTGTGCTCAAACTGAGCTATTTGTTAACAAAGTGGTCAAGTTTATTCGACTTAATTCTAGTCTGGGAATCTGCAACTGTAACTGTACTCGAAGCAAGCAAGAATGCTATTGTCTGAGAGATACGCTGAAGTCAGCTTTTAGAAACTTTCAAATAGTTATGCAATATGAATGAAAACGTATGTCTGTACAATGTGTTAACGGAAATCGATTATTATCGATATTTACTAAATGGGTGAAGTTATCGTTTAAATGTCAATATATAATATACGAGAACTTGAATTCAAGCTCTTATAGTCTCTGAGAAGAGTTTCTTGATAGAGATCAAGAATATATATACAGATATACCTTACGGTTTCAGAGCTGCTTTCTTCTGTCTGTTACGTACTTCCGCTTAAATTCATTATACCCTTCTTCCCAAATAAAATGGGTTCTGGGCATAAATAACTCGCTGCCTTTCGTTTGGAATTTGAACCTCAAAAACAAAAAAAAAAAAACAATAACAGAAAAACCTGCAACCATTTAACTCAACAGACCGTCAAATTTTTTGCTTAACTTTCGAAATGTTCTGTTTGGACATTTTTCACCAACATTTTTACACACAAAAAACGCTGCGGAAAAGCCACAGCTGAAATCGAGCTACAAAACTGCTGACTCAAAAAAAAAAACAAAAACAAGAAAAAAATATATTGTATAAGTTTGCTATTTTTTTTTGTGTGTGCGCACACAGCGTTAAATCGCGCGATCTTAGTCTCCCTCTCGCCCTCTCTCTCCCTCTCCCCTCTCTTGCGCACATGTTGCACAATCGTTGTGCTGCGGTTGTTGTAGCTGTGGACAACAGCACGTGTATGTCGTGCGTAAGCATGCCACAACTGGTTCTCGTTACTCAGGAAACGGGCAGCTAAAAATATTACACATACGCATCGTCTGCTGAACGAAAGATGGCCGATTGCCATTGGAGGGAAGAAATCAGTGCTTTCTCTTAAAAAATATTGTAGAAATTAACTAATAGAATATGAACATATTTTTGCTTATGCTTTGCTTTGCAACTTCTTTCACGCCATATTATTGAAAAGTTCGATTACAAACTGTACCTACACTCTACGGTTAGAAAGGGAATTAATTAAATAATATAGAATAGCATATATGGGTCTCTTAGCATTTATCACACAAACTATTCATATACTATACAGATGGAAAGGTACTAATTAATACAAAATAGTAATATGGATCTGTCAGCATTTATTACAAACTATTGCCATACTCCACATTCAGCAAGGTAATTAAATAATATTCCTAAATGGATCTCTCTGAATGTATCACTTAAACCAAATAATATAACACATATTGAACTCTCATTAGCTAACACAAACTATTCCTTTACTTCACATTTAGAAAGAGAATAAGCAAATAAAGTATTATTCTATATATTTCTAATTAAATCTAACACAACTACTCAAATACTCTATAGTTTACAAATCTCTTACACTTTGTGCCGGTTCTGTGTTGGTTTTGATCCCAGACGAGAACGTGTCCATCCCGATGGCGATGATTTAGTTTGCTGCGTCGAAAGGGCATTTTGAATGTCTGCTTTTTTTTATTATTTTTGTTTGATAAATTAAAGTAAATCTACGTTAAATTCGAAACAAGTTCGCGACAGCAGAGAAGAAGAGATTCGATGCTCTCTTTACTTTTTATGCTGTGTATTTTTGTGGATGTCTTTTTTTGTTTTCACTTGGACTTTTTGCGCACACGTTTAAACCATTTCATTGTCTATCTGTGCGGTGGGCCGGGCCAGAACATGTCGCGGATCAAGATATTACAGTTGGGCTTTTATATATGTATATATATATATGTGCACATATATCTGTAGCGAGTTTAGCTTGCGTTGCAAACGACGATTTTAATGCGACTGACTTGCGTCCGGTATCCAAGTCCAATTGGGTCTCGGTCTGGGTCTGGGTCTATATGGGATATATTTTGTTTGCTTTTAGCTGTTGCCTGATGGGGCGCCTCTGTGGCAACTGAGCGACAACTGTTGCGCGTATCTAGCTATATGTATAATTCTTAACGCTCAACACTGAGAGACAGAGAGAGCGGCAGAGAGAGAGAAAGAGAGAGAGCACTCTCAATCTCCCTCTCTCTCTCTCTCACGATTACATGAACTGTTTGGTTCTGTTGGTCAAAGGCAGCCGCGAAAATTGAATCATCAGCTGTGTTTAAACACAATTTGATTGATGTCAATTGCAGCGCCATACTCTATATACACACACATACAAATATATAGTCTATAAACGGTTCTATCTATAGCAACTAGACGTAATCACTTAAAAACATCTCATGACTTTAAAATTAATTTTGCAAAAAATCGAAGAAATAAATATAATTTGCCAAATGCGCCGTCAGACTTTCGAGTCCAAACAGCAAAAAATTAACGAGAAAAATGTTCGAAACCATAGAAATCTGAGAAGCCAGGCGCCATTTGGGTATCATTCTATGAGAGGGTGGGGGATGGTCGCTAAGTGCTGCTAAGTGTACCTCAGCATGCCAACCCCCACACCGCTCTCCCCATCCCTCTCTCTACCTTCGTATTATAATCTTCAATTAGGCATTAATAAATCGCATTTGCATTGCATTGTCGGTTGCTCGCTAATTTGGTGAAAAGTGCAAAATGCTAAAAGTCTGGCATGCTGTAAACGTACAAAAAGGTAGACGAATGGTGAGTGTAAAGACTTGTCAATACCCTACATGAACTTATAGTTGGTACTCGTTAAAGTTTTGATTAAGAAATTGTTCATTTTATCCAGTTCATTTACACATTACTTATAAGCATACATTTCTTTATCTTGTTAGTAAATCACAATTATCACACAAAGCTTTTTAAATATGTGCGCTTTCCTTAAACTAACCTACCCCATGACAAAGTCAGTTTACTCACTGCTAGTTCAAAAACAAAGCACGATTCAGAGTCACATGAACACATGCACACAAACATAAATACACACATACACACACATATATACAGTCATAAACCACATGTCGCTAGTAAAGTCTCGAGTCGGCCTCAGGCGACGTCAGACGAGCAAACGTTGTTGGCATTCGTTGTGCTTTGCACGTGTTTCTCGGCTGACAATCGGCTCGGCTCGGCTCGCGACAGTCGTACAAGTTTCGAGAGGGAGCGAAGAAAGCAAGAGAGCCGCTCAAATCGACTGACTAACAAGCTACTCAGCGACATTCTAGAATCTAGAGCTGGCTGACGTAGATATAAGATGTTTTGCATACACATTAGAAACGCCGGCAATTGTTATTATTATGCGAGCAGAGAGGCAAAGAACTAAAGGAAGAGCGAAAGAGACAGAGAGAGAGAGGGAGGGGGAGAAACCTCAACACGCGCAGCGCATCGCGTGTTAAAACATCTATTTTGTTTTTTTTTTTTTCCTTTTTTTTGCGTTATTTTTTGGCAAAACCTCAAATGGAAATTTTTTGTCTGGCTGGTACAGTCAAGCGTGTTGAGCAATTAGTCAAAAATACATTGAAGAGAACAAAAGAGAGATAGATACAAAAAATAGCAGCTGCATTTGTTATATTTCCGTTTCATTAACAATTCATGCTAAACATAAAAAACGAACAATTGCAACTATAATTAATAACTGTCATTAGAGGACAGCAGCACGTGACGCATATTGGCTCTCAAAAGCAAGCTTTAGAAAAAGCGCGCAAAGCTTTTGACGTTATGTGGTTTGTGTGCTAGCTAAATAAAATGTTGCGTGCTTTTGGGGTGTACGCTAAAAAAAAGCCCATAAATTAAAGGGCCGCACAATTACGTTACGGTTAGTTTACGTAGATGATCACGTAATGTGGTAGCTTCAAGATTATCTGTTTCGTTTCGATATGTTAACAATTTAAGGCAAAATGTATACCTCATGTCACAATAGCAATTGCAATTTATTTCTAGTTGTTTTAATAATAATAAATACCGGAAATATTTTTAGTCAACCCATTTAAAAATTGCTCATTACGTGCATTGTTTGCTTGTAGTCATATGAAGAATAATACGGCTCAAATACTAAATGGGTTAATTCATGTTCTATATTTCTTTATCATATATATGATTATTGGCGGGTTATTATGATTATTATTATTGATTTTTCTCAGCTAATTAATGTGTGCGTATTTAGTGTCGTTTCAATGGAATGTGTTGATTACTTTTTCACCTACAAGTGTAATAAATAAATGTAATTGTTTTTTTGTTTGTTTGTTATGTTTTCTATAAGTCGTATTGTTTTAAGAACTTATTGCGGGGGATTTACTGATTAAAAGTGGTTGCGTCAAGCAGAGATTCTTTGCTGAGGCATTGAGAGGTGCAAAAGAGTTGGGCAAATAAAATATTATATTTATTTTTATATATGTTGTGCAAATTCTAAAGAAGGCCGTACAATTTACCTGAACTGAACTCAAAGCGTTAACGTTGTGGTTGGTTAACAGAACGTTGAATGATGTCATACGTAATACGTATGTGTGTGTGTGTGTGCGCGCTTGACTTATCCGTCACGTTTGTATTTGCTTATTGTCTCCGCTCATAGCTTTAGTTGTTTCAATTGTTTCCGTTTGGGTCATAATTAAATTGTTCTAATGTCTATTGATATCAGTCACCCTCATCCACCTCATCCCGTCCGCCCCCTCTCTCCCTCCTTCCAAATTCAATCAGAATCAGTTTCATTCAATTTCGTGCTTTGTTTTATTTTTTTGAACACAGCTGACAAACTGTATTTAAGTATTCTATATATAAATTTGTCCATAAAAATAACATGCGCACTTTAGTCGAACATGAGTAATTTGATTACGAAATGTGAACAATACCAGATTACAGCCATTGAATAAAATGTAATCATTTTGTCAGGCATTACTTTTTTTAAGTGAACACTTAAAGAGAAGACTCAGCTCGGCTCGAGTCAAACTCACTTTGTATTCGCTTGATGGCAATTTTCTAATTGAACTCAACTGTAAATTGCATTATATTGTAAGAATATATGGCGACATTATGTACGACTCATCATTTGTCTGGGTGAAAGCGAAAAAGCAGCGTGTGAAAAATAACGCGCACTTTGCCATATCGCAAATATCGCACATTTACATACCCTGAACCGTATATATATATTTTTAATAGACAGGTTAATATGATTATTCAACTAATGGCAAATGTTGACATGCCAAAAAACAAATTGATCAAAATCAGACACGAAAATCGCAGTGCCAGTGTCGGGGCCACAAATGCTTGCAACATTTATCGAATATTTGTCAAATTGCCAAGGAACAAAATTCTGTACGAATCAAGTACATTCGAATATGCCCTGTAGAAGTTGCAGAAAAGGGGCATATACATTTGTGGAAAGTATTTTGGGCATTATTATTATTTATGTATTTGCTGACAATGATAACAGAATATTCTTGACAGGTTAGTTTTCTATAGGGTATCAGCTCTCTACAGATCTACAAATATCATGTACATAAATAGAGCATACCTTATATATTGACAAACATCTGAATACACAAATGTTCACTGAAAATGTTTAATAAGTACCTCACCTAAAATAGAACACTTACTTTCTACAGCGAATCCCATTTATCTTCTACTTATTTCGTAATTGAGAATATAATTGGGAATATAAGGTATATATAATATCTTGAACTCTTGTGTAATTCATAAGTGAGAGAGAACAGACCTTTAATGTGAGCTAATATTTGTATAGTTCTATAAATGATAAAAGAATACACTTGATATGCAAGCTAATAATTTTATAGGGTATAGAACGTTAGTTTTCTACAGGGAATCCCCTTTACGTTCTATCTAATATATGAAAAGTGAGAAGATATCAAACTTGATCTATAAGCTGATATATGTATGGGGTATAGAATCATCACCTAAACCAGATGAGACGCTTCGTAAGTTAGTTACCTAATATCTGTATAGAGTATAGAAGGTCAGGTTTCTATTGGGAGTCCCCGTTATAAGTGGAAACAGAATAATAAGATATTTACGCCTTTATTTTATACCTTTAAATAACAAATGATCTGTATAGGTTTCTATATCCCCTTAATGATCTACTAATGACTATACCTGATAAGTAAACTACTTACTTTAGTTTTCTATAAAGAATATAAAGAACATCAAATACAACCTCCAATATGTATTTATCTATATAGGGTATCTTGAGTTCAATAATTTGCATACTCGCTCAAATTGCATTTGCCTGCCTATTGGCCAACTTTGGCGCACCCTGTTAACGGTTGGGTCTTGCAAATGAAAGTGAAAAACTGCACTCGGTTTGAGTCTTGAGATCAGATCGGAATAGAATGCGAAGGTTGCTCGGCACACTCTGATTGCAAATTGTGGATTTCCTCAACTGTTCTTGACCTTAACACTTGTACGATTGTAACGAAAGCCAGTATCAAGTTGCAAGCATCGAGTTTGACTGTGAAAACTAGTTTCTGTTATTGTTATTGTTATTGTTATTGTTGTTACTAAATTACTCATTTGCATGTTGAGGTATAAACACGTTTGCACATTTTGGCTGTATTTTCGTGTTTTGTGTTTTGTATTTTTTCGCCGGCAACCGGTTTGAACTGCTCTGGCCAAGAAAGCAAAGCAAGGAACTGGGCTCCATGAACTGTGTCAAGAGATGTCGCCGAGCTTCAATCTCGACTAGGAAAACAAACGGCAGAGCGACCATAAAACAGCTGCAAAAACAGCTGTGTTGTTTTTTCTCTTTCTGCTGCGAATTTTGTGTCAATAAACTATTCACGTATCCAGTTTTTTTTTTTTTTTTGGGTACCGTTTCGGTTACCTGACACTAACGTCTTCCCCCCTCCGCCCCTCATCTTCCCCGACTCGCATTAATTGCGAATTTGGCTCACGCGTTGGCGACAACAACAAAAGCGTCTCTCTTTTTTTTATTATATTTATTTAAAGTATTTTGCTGATGTCAATGAAAACAATATTCGAGACATCGCACATAACAAACAACTTCCGTTTCGGGGGAATCATAAAACCGTAAAAGCGCCTGAAAAGGTCGCCCCGAGAATTTGTTGATCCGTATTATTTAAATCAAGTGGAATTTGTGGAAGTAGAAGCTACGCCTAATTGAATCAGCGCCAAGTGCGCCAAATTCCGTTTTTATTTTTATATGTTGTAATTTCAGATGTCATTTGAGATTTCCGACTCTTGCAAAAATTGCGAAAGATAGAGAAAGATATATATATATATATATATTGAGAGAGATAGAGAGGTTTATGACACAGCAGAGTTCCTCGAATTACGACAGCTTATCTAACTATTCTATTCATTAAAATGTCCATCACAATTATCCACTTAGTTTATATAACAAAAAAAAATAAATAGATAATAACCTTGTTGCACGACTTGGAATAAATTAAGAAAGGGGCTTTTTCTTACTAAACTAATATTCCATTTACATTATGGATGAGCTTTGCTGACGAAGTAATCTAGGATTTACACTGAAAACAATTACTGTACTAATCAAATATTTGGTTTTTGGTTGCACAAATTTATTTCGCCATCATTTATAACTTTAGACTGATTTTAGCCAAATTAATAATTATTAAAATCATTTTGTTTTATGTAGATTTTAATAAGTCACATTAAGCTGTTGAATATATTTTGAAAATCTTGATTCTTTGTTGTTTTTTTTCTTCTTCAATATTTATGTATTTTTCAGCTTTGACAGCTGTTTGAATTGCTTGGATTATAATCAAAAGTGAATATACACCAACCGCACTATCAGCACATATAACTGTATATAATAGTAGTCGACAGGTCTTAAAATACTTTAGATAATGACTAATCTTAATTTATGACTGAGACATTTGCACATTGATGTCCAGTTGAAGTAAACTTACCCAATTGCGGCTTCTCGACCTCCTTCTCGCAAATTGCCTCCTTTGATGCGGACATTTTGTGTGTGTTTTTTGTTTTGTTAATAATTTACAATAATTTAGTTTACAGTCTTTTTTTTGTTTGTTGTTAATTGAATTGCATAAGAATCAAGTCGTAAAGCGGAGTGAAAATTGCGCAAGAAATTATGGAAATAGCCAAACTATTAAGTCTGGGGCTCAAAGCACGTCGCTTGGCGGTTTTTTAAGACATTTCCGACCCGTATTGTTATTGTTCTTTTTTTTAAATTTATTTATTTATATATATTTTTTTTGTTTATTTTTGTTATTGCTGTGGTTAAATTAGCTGCTCGTTCGTGTTTCACTCGCGTTCGCAGCTTAAAAGGTTCTGAACGATTAACGGCAAGACGCGTTGCCTTTAAATAAGCAGACACCGGAGACCGGAGAATGAGACCGGAGAATGAGACCGGAGACTGAGATCGGAGACGGAGACGGTGACAGAGACAGAGACAGAGACTGCAACCGTGGCTGAGACTGAGGGCAGAGGCAGAGGCAGCGACTGAGACCGAGACTGAGACTGAGACAGTCTGAGTCTGAGACTGTTGTTTGCACGTTTAATTTATGATGTGCTGTTTGAATTGAGTTGTTGACTCGATCTCGGGTGATATATATATTTAAATATATACATATATATATGCAGATCTGTCCGATCCACACACAGCTCGGCCGATATCTGTAAGATTCAGAGCAAACACAGCAAATTAGCAGGATAAATTTAGCAATATTATCGAAATTATCATTGGCCTTAATAATTGATCAGGTAAACGTTTTTTTTCCCCTCACGAGTTTTAACTTTGCATGCACGTTTCTATAACGATAACATAATGAATATTTCCTTCTACATATATATATATATATTGGCCGATGAGTTGCCAAAATTGAAATGTGTGGGCGTCAATGATTATGGCTGCATTGAATTCATCTACGTTAATAGTCACGGCTGATTTTGGGGTACAGTTTCGCATATGATTTCTTAGCTGGTTTGTTGGCATTGCGCGTCTGTCAACTGTATCAATATTTGTTTGGCGAGAATGAGTTGATTAACTAGACTACAAATTTACATAATTACTTGTTGTACGACACAGCTTTAATTTGTCTCACACTCAATTCAAGCGGCTCTCTTTTGCATTCACACAAACACATTTAAATACTTTAAACTCATTAGCTCTGCTGTTTGTACCCCGGAACTCTTTTACAAATTGGTGAGCGTGGGTATTATGGTAGTTGAGCAAATGTTTGTGACAGGCAGAAGAAGGTATATGGCATAAAAATCGATTATTCATAGCAAGAAAAAGCACAATTTGAAGGAAAACAAGATTGTATATCGATATATGTATCTATAATTCTAGTAAATATTTTTTATTTCTCGTTTACCACAAGTAGATCATTTTTTATATCTCTTATCCATTCCTCCCTTTTGCAAATATCGATAAAAATCGATTAACAATAGCAATAACAGTCACAATTTTGAAGATAAATCTTTCATATAATGTTAACAACAATCTCAGATCGACAGAGCCATAAAAGCCACAACAAAAATATATTATTCGCCGATAGTTGATAGAAATATTACTTGACATAAAGTTAATGAAGAGTGGCAATAAAATAATAACTACAATGTGTGCGATTCATGACAGCTTAAAGGCTTGGCTACAGGGAATCCCCAAGTCGCGACTTGTTTTGCATTTTATTTCTAACTTTCGAATTACATTTGGGCTCTGCGGTGTTGATGATGATGTAATTTGTTGTCAATTACAAAGCATTTCTTTTGTTTGTTGCCCAAAATCCAACAAGCAAAACAAAACAAAACCAAATAAAAACTGGTTAAGATTTTGCACATAATAATTATGATTGAAATGCTGTTTGAGTCTAATTCTGCTGAAATACTTTTTATATATTTTTTATATTTATTTGGGAGTCTCTCAAAAAACTCGCGATTGGAATTTCAATAAGTGTTTTTTAGAAAGTATCGCAAAACAAATGAAGCTGAGTTGAAACTGAAGTTTTTGTTTTGTATTATGTGTGTGTGTGTTTTTATTTTTAAGTCACCGACTGTGAAACCTGATCAGTTTTTTGTTTACCTCATTGTGGGTGTTGTTTTTTTCCATCGGAGTTCTGAGAATATTTTATTTAATTATAAACTATTTTGCAGCTAATGGGTAGATGATTTACGTAAACAACAAAAGCTTATCTTCGATTTATAAAATTGAATTATTGATTTTATTTGAAATTCCGCTTTATTTCTTGGGCGCATTTTTTCTTAAAAAAAAAAATAAAAAATAGTTATCGACTTTTACAATTAGCGCATTTTCGAATTTGGTGTTAGATAAATTGTAAAAATAAATGTCGATTTGAATGATTATGCATATTTTTTGCACGTTTCTACAGTTGATCTCACTAAACTGTGAAAATTGAGTCAAATTGAATGATTTGGCGTATTTTGTGTCACGTTTGCGGCTGAAGATGTTGATCGGCTGGTTAAGATCACCTTGCGAATCAGAGATGTTCCATTATAGAACGAAAACTGCCAAAAGCTAAACTAAAAGTTGCAGATAAATTATTTTCGACACAGTGTTAAACCAACGAATTGTGTTTTTCGTTCCAGTTCCGGCTAATTGCTGCCAAATTGAATACGATCTTTTTCGATATGGTTCTATTTGGACTAATAAAATTGGCTACTGTAAATGTTCGTTTAAGAGAAATGCCTGAGCCAAAAATTAGCTCACCTGACTCAATTCACTTTATTTACACATATGACTATTTCTTGTCTCTTTTATAATGAGACAATTATCACTTTCGAATATGAAATTTAACTTTAAATTAAGGTGAAACTTGCTTAATCATAAACTGTGTTGTTAATTGCCACCAGCTTTTGAGCAACCAAAGCAACTATCTATCAACTATTATTAACTTGCACACAAAACTCATTTCGAAAAAAAGGCGTTAATCAATTAACGTTTAACAGTTTAGTTGAGGTGTTTTTTCGAGAGTGGCAAGTGATTATTATGAGCCAGCTGGTCTCCTCCTCATGTAGAAAAAAAAACTCAACAAACAGACAACAAAGACATTAACTGAGCCCTTGATATGCATCAGAGACCAGTTTATGGAATATTTAGGACTGGAAATAGAAATGCAAATTGAAAATGAGTTGTTAAATTGCATTGCCAAGAATTGCAATAAAGGGCAATTGCAACAGTTTTTCTACAAGTCAATACTTATGGCCACTAAGGCGGTGCAGGTGATAAATTCATTTTATGGTCAGTTTGGTGTTAAACCTAAATGTTCATTTAAAAACACATTTCGAAATTTATTGAACACCAGCCATTTGGCTAAGGTGTATTAAATAAATATTGTTTAATCACATTTATTGGGCCAATTGGGTAAACAGTACAACTTGGCTAAGATAGAGCGCGTGCCCCCAGGCAACTCAAGTGTTTTGCCAGATAGGGATGGTGGAAGTGGGAGGCGACCGGAGAGGGGGACACTATTATAAATTTTTATGATTTCGATTTTGATATTGAGTGATTGCTGCTGTTGATCAAATGCGAATGCCAATATTCGAATATTGGCATTGGCAGATTTATAGACACGCTGCCAGAGTCTTCAACAAAATATTTCCCAATAATTTTCTATAGAAATAAGTCAGGTTGCCAAGGCCAGTTTTGTGGGCCTATCAAGTACCCGTAAATTATGAGCACTTATCTGTTGCCCGGAATCGTATTGACGTACTCGTGCTTCAGATTATCAAATCATATTTCGACCGGATGATTAAACTCCAGCATTTCCAAGCCAACAATTATGAACGCACGTGCTTTTCTATACACTCATTATAATTCTAATATACTAATTCTTACACTCTTCTTGCTACAAGTTTGAAGGAAGAAAATAAGAAAAGAAAGAAGAAACTCTTCCACGAATATTTCCCATGTGTTTTTTTGGCCATAAAGTCTTGGCTTATATAAGTTAAATGCGTGTTATTGTTGTTTTGCTTGCTTAATTATAAAAAAGTTATAGCCAAGTTTATTACAGCCTCATAAGCAGGCCCTCCACTTTTCTGTTTTTTTTATTTTTGCTAATTTCTGCTGCGTCAAGTTCGTCATGCGAACGTCAGACTGTCAATAACCGTTAGCCATTTATGGCAATACTCGCCAAAAATTTCCAAATGTGCTTGCTCTACGATAAAAAAAGACAACATTTCACGTGTAGCAATTGTTTCTTATCTTAAGTCATTGCCGCATTTTGTATTTCTATTTTGTATTTCAATTCTCGCAATTTATTTGCATTTTTTCACACGTTAATTGCAAGCGATATATTTTTTTTCCAACCTTTTCACAGATGACGCTACATTTGAAGTTCAAGTCCAGCTGCGAGAGACAGAGAGAGAGAGAGAGGGAGAGAGGGAGACAAGAGCAACACACATTCGTTTCGGCCGAGTGGCTCTCGATGCTGCTCCCCATTGTCGAGTGTTGATTGTACGAGTACAATCTTTCTATGCGTTTGTACAGTGGGAATAAAAAAATTGTGTTTGACTTTGCAGTGTGCGGATTTGATTAGCTTATCGACTATCGACTTGTTAACATTCTATGCGCCCCACTGCACTCACTCACATTGAAAAGCTGGCAGCGCATTTTTGCACTTGAGACACTGTGAACCAAAGCTTTTGCAGTCTGCAACACTTCTAACTGATATCGATTAACACTTTATTCGATAATCATTCTAATGAGGAGTTAAGGATGAGTTCCCCGCGAGAGAGGAGAGGCTCCAACTGCGAGAGAGCTTTCAGATAGAGAGAGTTTGCCAGCTGGCCATGTTAATTAGCATTTGCAAAGCGGTTTTTTTGTTTGCATAAGATAAACTAATTTGGTTTAAGGTGAGCCTTAACTTAGGCAACTCACTCACCTCAAGCTAAACTATTTAAAAATAAATAAACTATTTTATCAACAGCTGTCGTCAGCTGTTATTTTATTTATTTATTTATTTTGCTTCCACTTTTTGCGAACGTGCGGACAAAAACAGAGAGCGAAGTGAGTAAGAAATACAATTGAAATGCGATTGAAAACCAACTTTTTAAGGAATTTGCATTTTTGAAGTTTAATTTGTTGTCTTGATAATAAGACTTGAGTTGTTGTTGTTTTTGTAGAGTTATAAGAAGACACTCACGAGCTGGGTATTCCAAATTTGATTTTTTTTTATATTTTTTTCGCGATCGATTTTCACCACGAGTAACTTTCTTATTTGCCGGCTCCGTTTTGGGAGCTTTGCTGCTGCTGCTGCTACTGCTGCTCTGTCGAGGTCTGGCGCTGTAATGACTTACTACCTGAGCTAATTGAACGTTTTTATAATTCTGTTTCAGTTTCTGTTTTCTGTTTTTTATTGTTTTTTCATTCGCATTGAACCGAAACTGAGGCGCCAGTGGGAGGCAGGTTATCAAAATAAAATAAAAACACGACAACGCTTTTGCCTGATTCATCCGCACATAGCCGAGCGAAAGCCGAGCGCGCGTCGTGTGTGATAGCCAGCCGGGTTTTAGGTGATAATGCGAAACGTTTATGGGCCACGTTATAAACAATTAATGATGTTTTTATTGCCTGCGGCAATTGCTGCTTACAGCAACACAACAACAGGCCGCAGCCGATAAAACAGATGAAATTTTACTGTCTCTGTCGTTGTCTCAGTCTCACTGCTACTGCTGCAGCTCCTTCTTGCACGTGAGCATCACTCATCATGTTTTGTTTTGTGCTCTGCTTTCGTTGTGCACATGTCTCAGCTTAAGAGGGAAAAAGATGAGAGCAATAACAGTAAGAATGCTGTAGTCGATGCCGCTCGACTACGATATACCCTAATATGCTACTGCTGTTAAAATAAGATCATTATAAGAACACATTTTCGACTATAACGTGGATGTCTCTTATCCGATCTTGATGAAAAAGAGACATCATAAAAAGGGACACGGCAGTATCGACTCGACCCCATAAGGTTCGGAGAACCTTGCCTGTTTACATACCTTTGCACAAAATCATTATACCCCTATTACCAAATTTCAACGAGTGTTCAGGTTATAAAAACAACTGAAGCTTAACACGTTTGGTGCTCTCAATAAGCGCAGGCCAAGCTCAAAAGTGCAATTAATATCCTCTCTCAAATCGCTCTCTCTATCTCTCTCTCCCTCTCTTGTTCTTTGCTCGAGCTTTTGCTGAAGATCGACTGGAGACTGCCTGCCTGCCTGCAGTTGCTGAGCAGCTCTTGTACAGCGGAGAGCTGTGTGCGGGAATCGTGAGAGTGCTGTGATGAAGTTAAGGTTAAACAAGTCTTAAGTATATTTTTTTTTTCATTATTGACAATTAAGTCTGTTAACAATTCATTTACGCATTTAATTTTGCAGTCATCCTCTTTTCTGATATGCAAATTACACATGTTTATTGAGCCCTGAACCGTAAAATACGACACCTTTGGCATCTAGTATTCGTGGCCAGATAAGAAAAAATACAAAAAAAAACTTGCAAGCTAAATTAACTGACCGTTGTTTGGCATTGGGCGAATCTTGGTAGTTGTTAATAAAAGGCGATATTAAAGTGATTTCGGCACCACTATAAAAGCAGTAGCGAACTTGGAACAATTTAACCCTTGATTTTAGCCTTTATGAATGGAGTGTCACATGATATTATTTTATTGCTCAACTCTAACCGACAATCTGCTGCTGCCGACCATTTTGGGCCAGGCAACAATCCGCTCTCGATGCTTATCGTTGCGATTATTTGACAAGTTGAAGTGCCGTTATACAATTGGCAAATAACAAAGAAGCCAATTAGATTTGCTGCCGGTGGCGGTGCCTGTGCTTCAGCTAAGCTGAGTATATCATGCATTAACTTAACTAAATCAAATTGGACACTATCGCCGGGGATAATCACAGGTATTAATTATTTATTTTTTCGATTTAATTTACGCTAGACCCTTGTGCATGCCATCGACGCGACGTAGATATAGATCTATTATTACTGTATTATTGCCATATTTTTACAGAATATTCGTCTGGTAATAATTAATATTGTTTCGAGCTTACATTTAAAATGCTTCAAATATACATTTGTTTGTTTTCTTATTAATTAAACAGTTTAAGAACTGTTTGATTGTTTTTGGTAGTAGTTTGCTGTTTATTTGAGTTTAAATTTGAGATTACGATTTCTGTACTTTTCCAAAGAATGCTATAAAATTTAAATTTAAGATTCAGCACATACAGGAGAGTTGTGTTTGTTCTTTTTCAAAATTCCATGGAATTGGAGATGTTCCTCGAAAAGACCCAGAATATTTGTTTATTTGTGTCAATAGACGATAAGTTAATTGACTTAGACGGATAAGGGCCACATATTTGTGCTGTTTGATGATTTGATGACGTCTTTTCGCTTTAATGAAGCGACTGCCGTAAATCTTAATCTCTGCCACAATTCGGGTACAAATATTAACTACGCACGTAGCCTGAGGATGGCCTCTTAAAGGCCCATAAATAATAAACACTTTACACAATTGGTTGTAGTGCCGATTTAATCGAACATATTATACCTGTAGTATATACTATATTTATATATATATATATACATAAGTGAGGCCTGTCGCTTGACGCAATTGTTTCAATGTGGGTGATGTCTGCTCTGCTCTGCTCTGCTCTGTTCTGATAAGGGAGCATTATATTAGTATGTTTATATATATTATTTAATATCAGCATAGACCAGTAAACAGAATTTCCATGGCGCAGTGCAGTATTCCCATTAAGCAGAATAGATTACAATATAATTTTGAGTGCCTCCACCTATCATCTGAGTGGGTGCTTAAGAACCAGTCGTTTATTAAATTTAATGCTTGATTTTTAGCCATTTTTACCCATTCAATTGCAAAACTTCTCAAGGTGCTTGGTTTTCTGTGCTTACACAATACAAATGCCAATTGTTAGCATTAGATTGTGAATGAATTATGAGACTGCTTAGTCAAATGCATCAACTGCATTCGATAAAGTGCAAATTATGATTGCCATAAATGTGTAGAGTGCAAACTAATTGAAATAAATCAGTGCTCTGCACTGTGCACAATACTGCAGTTTCAGTAATAGCTGATAATTAGTAACTGATAACTGATAACGGATAATGGGTAATACAGTCAAAAAATTGATTAATTTGTCATACTTTTGGCGCTAAGCCTAATGAATCTTATTAATGAGAATGAATATTTCTGAGAGTACTTGAGGGTTTCCATTTTTGCCTTTTAGAAATGTATTGCTTAATAATAGAAAATATTAAAAGAAATAATATAAGCAATATAATTTTGGTATTCCTTTTAATTTACTACAATTTGTTTTCTTTTGTCTAGAAATTATTTCTAAGAACAAGGAACGCTTTCTAGTTTTCTGAGTGTAGCTATGAGGTTGATGACAGTCTAATATTGGCATAATGACCAGGCAAATATGTCATTTGCCATAAAGCACTACTCCAGTCATAAATGTCGGGCCCTGTCAACTCTTAACTGATACTCGTTTCAGTCTGGCCCACAGGCGTTGATAGCTGTTAGTTGATAGTTGATAAGGAACGTGTTGTGGATCGGCCGATTTAGCCGATCACGTTCACGTGAAGTGCACGCCGTGCGTGCCAGTTAGCCAGATAGTCAAATAGCCAGATAGCGAAGAGAGGGGATAACAATAAAAGCCCCACACACAAAGTGTGCCATCAGAGCGAGTATATATACCAATTAGTATACTATACAATATATACTTATCTGGTGAATAATATCTAGCCAGACAGCAGACAACAGTCAACGGTTGATACTCAACAATAACCCTCCCCTCATCCTGAATCACCCGTTGTTGTTATTTGCATTTTCGACATTTCTAAACAATTTCATTTCAGGCTGATCACACAATCTTTATGTGAACAGTGCCATCAGCAGTTGCTTTGCTCAATTCTTTTCAGTACAGTCATTACAAATAAGATACTTGCTGAAATATAGATATAAGTATAATTAAAGATATACACAATTAATCATATCAAATATATTTCGAGCGTGTCATTCATAAATCACACATTACGCATACGCAATGTTGAGCTAATTTCAAAAGCCAGCCAAAAGTATGCAATGCTTATGTTTAAGCATGAATCATTGCAAACATTGCCGCATTTGAATAATCAAACATGTCCAGTGCAACTTCTGGCTCTCCTTTACTGATGTGCAACAGTTCAATCCTCAATCATCAGTGATTATACTCGGTTGCAAAGGGTTCGTTTCTGGCATTACGCAAGAAAAAGAACTGTCGAGTCGAGCTAGCCATGTCCGTCTTTTTATTTAACTGTATAAAAGCTAGAAGAAATAATCATATCATATCGATTTGATATCCATGATATCATATCATTATCAGTTTTGGTATATGGGAGACTTAACCCAGTTCGAAATGTGTGCTTTGATTCCGATTCCGGTTTGAGAACCTCGTTGATTATCTACTTAACAATTTAAGTGCCAGCTGTATTTGTGTTATAATCTGGATAATCTACAAAGTTGTTAGAATATTATATACTTGTAACATTTAACAAATATACTCCATCACGCCCAGCTTTGTGGCTTTTGTCTAATTTTACTACGACTCCCATTTCAGATGTGAACATATTTGCCAAGCAACAACAGCTCGGAAACAATTTCAAATAATACAAAAAGTAAGCAAATTTTTTATGTAATTCGTTGTTTTCCAAAAAAAGGAGACACAAAACACAAAAGAAAACGAAGGATGCCTTGCTCCGTTTCCAATTTTGAATCGGGCTCAAATCGCTATCGGCCCAATGTGCGTATTGGCAACTGGTTTGAAAACAACTGCCTCGAGGAGGTAAGTCAAATCGTGACAATATCTTTAACTATCTCTTTATATAGATATATACTTTTTACAGGCGAAAATGGCTAGTTTCCGTAAGATGCGGGATCGCGGGGAGCTGCTTGTGGAGAAGGCTCGCAAATTGTTCGACAACTTCCAGAAGGAGGTGCAACTGGCTGCACCCAAGCACGACATTATGGTTGGTGCCACAGTACAGCTGATGCCCATCTATATGAATATACTCGATATGGACACATCCGAGTTGCATCCCGCTTTGTCTGTGGTTATCAACGAGCACGCCATACGCACCAGCCAAACAATCAACGAGGATTGCGAGCTGACTGTGGCTCCCTCGGAGCGTCCCTGTATCCGCAACTCCTTTCGCATTGTCAGCGGGGATGAGCACGATCGCACCGGCGAGAAGCTCAAGTACGGTCAGCGATTCCGTTTGGAGTGCGTCGAGTCTCCGGATGATCCCATCCTGGTCTACAGTGCACCCAAGCTAAACAATCTCTCGCAATCCATCAATACGACCTTCAACTCGCAAAAGTACGGCGAAATCAATTTACCTTTGGGTCTGGTGCATCGCAGTGTGAGTAATTGTTAAATATATATTAATTTATATTTATATATTTATTTATCTCTATATTTAATTGTAGAAAATCATGTGTCCCGATGGCGATATACCCTCGGCATTCACCAACTGGTATTGCATGCATGTCGATCCGTGCAAACGCTTCGAGAGCGAGGGCGAAACTTTGCCCGTGAGTCCAAATCAATTGAGCAACATTTAGTAAACATTAAACTTAATCCTTATTTAAATCTTGTAACTTTCAGAGCAATTCACCGTTGGTTATTGTCCATGCGGCCACCAATCGCAATCTGGCCGCTGAGAATGTTGTTACCCAGACACTTTTTGGTCCCGAGTTTTTGGTCTCGTGTCAAAACTATCGCAACGTGTTCAAGCGTGAAATCTGGAAGAACGTTTGGATGATCAGCAATGGCCATCACACCCATGCTTCCCATTAAATTTAAAGAGTTGTTCGTTTACTATGTGTGTTAATAGGCCGCCTTTGCTGTTGCCTTATCAAACGCAAAATACATTAGGCCAGGCCAAGCAACTGTTGTGTGAACTTGATTCTTTTATGGCCAACAAGTGTGGCGAGTAATCAGGTCAGGCCGAGCCCCCGTCGCTGTATGGCACTGATTAAGCACCATTAAGCCATAAACTGCTTTGCCAATTTGATATGTTGGTAAATATCGTAATATCTTTTATTGTTTGACTAGAATTAGGTGAATCACTCAATGGTATTTTAGATTTGTGAGGCTGATCTTTCTGTAGGCTTAATCTTTAATTATTACTTGGATCTATAAGGTTAACCTTTTACGCGATTTTGATTAATTTTTAGATACCCTATCATTAATATGGTTATTATTGCCTATTGTGAGGTGTGTAAAGTAAGTATTTGCTAATGATCTGTTTGATGTGTTTAAATTATATATTGCACTTTAAATTATATATTGTTAGGTAGGATTAGTGGCAGCTTTGAATTCCGTCTAATGTGTGTACAGCTGCTAATTGTTGTTGTTATTACTAATTATTGATAATTGTTGTAATGTAGTAATTGTTACTTATATTTCTGTTTGATGTGTAATTAACACTTTATTATGAGAGATTTATGTATTTACAATATTTATTAACCTTCCGATTATTGGTCATATACATAATACAGAAACAGAATCTTTGCTTATGCTTTGATTTAAACATCTGATTTATCTAAGCTGCGTTGAAGCATTGAATGATATTGCTATTCACATAGCAATAAGCTATAAACTATGTCAAGTATATAATGTGTCTAAGTCTTTTTTTCATTTGGCTCCTTTGCAGGGTCATTAAACGAAATTCGCACATGGAATTGGGTCAGCCAATCCCCCGCTGGGCTGGGTAGATAAGCTTCAGTAACAGCTCCAACGACTCGCTGGCTATAAAAGAGCTGGAAAATCGCACATCGAACACAAACCAACTTCAACTTCAATTCCAGCAATGTGTGCAGACAACACTCCCTTCCTGTTGCTGATCCTCGCCATCGGCGCTGGCAATCTTGTCCAGGCTGCGGAAGAGCCCCGCATCATTGGCGGCCAGTTTGCAACGCCTGGCCAGTTTCCGCATCAGGTGTCGCTGCAGCTGAATGGACGTCATCATTGTGGTGGCTCTCTGATATCGGACACAATGATCGTGACGGCGGCCCATTGCACCCGGGGACAGAGTGCCAGCCAGATGAAGGCGATTGTGGGCACCAACGATCTGAGCGCGGGCAATGGTCAGACTATGGCCATTGCACAGCTCATCATCCATCCGCAGTACAATCCACAGAGCCAGGACTTTGACATGTCGCTCATTCGGCTCAGTAGCCCGGTGCAGTTGGGTGGTGGCGTGCAAACGATTCAGCTGGCGGATGCGGATGCCAACTATGCGGCGGACACCATGGCGACCATCAGCGGCTTCGGAGCAATCAATCAGAACCTTCAGTTGCCCAATCGCTTGAAGTTCGCCCAGGTGCAGCTGTGGAGTCGCGACTTCTGCAATGCGCAGAATATACCTGGACTCACGGATCGCATGGTGTGTGCAGGACATCCCAGTGGGCAGGTCAGCTCCTGTCAGGGTGACTCGGGTGGACCGTTGACCGTTGATGGCAAACTGTTTGGCGTTGTCTCCTGGGGATTTGGTTGCGGCGCCAAGGGACGCCCAGCCATGTACACGTACGTCGGCGCCTTGAGGTCCTGGATCAAGCAAAATGCCAATGTTTAGCCCACCTTATATATATCCGTTTGATTTCTAAACATAATCCTTATACAGATACCACATATTTTGTTCAACTTAAATAATAAATTTGAAAGCACTAAACGATTTAATTTACTCATGGTACATAGGGCTTCTTAGATAATCCCATAATCCGTAAATGCAGTTCGTCCTTGTGATTCTATCGCGCCATATCCTTTGGCTGAGTTAAAGCCATTCCTTGTTGAATTAATGACCCCTCAAAGTATGCTGTACATTTTAGCATAATGGCGCATTAGCCAATGCAACAACCAAACTAATATGTGTAACGGGTTCGTGCACATGCTACCACCTGCAAAAGAAAGCAATTAAAGTGGACCAATATCTCTAGGTTGAAGTGGGAAATTTAGTCAATATAGCAACCATATCTGTGTCACTGCTTTATGTGGGGAATTTAGTCAATACAACAACCATATCTGTGTCACTGATTCATACAGATACTATCTAATACCGCAACCTGAAGAGGAAAAGGTTGTTGGGTGACCATATTTTTTGAAAAGGACGCTTTTTTGGTACACGAAGTGTTTTGTTTATTTGTAACTCGATTTGTGTGTCCTTTTACAACTTGTGTAATTGCTTAAATTACTAGACATTCACTATATGCGCTTAGGTTATTATTGTATCATTATCAAAAATGTCTTGACCACGTTTATGGCTTTTGGTTTGTACGCTAAATGTAAATGTGCCTAAAATCGATCGCAAATCAAACATGTCATGTCAAAATATGTCTTGTGTGTGTATGTATGATTAGAGGCTAGCCAACGATATTATGTCATGTTTGATTATTTACATTTGCGATATGATATAGATATAGATATATTTACAGTCGTTGTCGTGTTTTTTTTTTTTGTGACTTAAGTTATAAACCCATAAGCAAGTACATAGTGGGTATAGTTGGTATGCAGTATGTAAGTATGTATGTATGTATGTATATATAAAGTAGAAGGCACTATTGCATATTTGCTTCTTACATATTATAAGTACTAGCTCCCTATACTTTAGTGATATCGATAAGTCTCTGTCCGAACTGATGATGATATACATACATAAGTACAAAAAGGTGTCGACTACTTCTAAAATTCTACTGCTACTACAAGCTGGCGTTGTCTAACAAACGGGATATGTTGTCCTTGTTAAGTTCTTATCATCATCATCATCAATAACAAAATGCATAAAAGTTTTTTCTTTAACCTACAAAGTAAACCTCTAAACATAATTTGGCATAGGTTTTTTGCTTTTACGGTTTCTCCTCAGATAGTTTTTTTTAAGACTTGACTTTGAAATTCACAAAATGTGCAACAAGTCAACTTAAAATACAAATGTAAAATAAATTAACTCAAATGGCTAACGAAACGGACGTAAGTACAGACTTACAGGTAATTACAGGAATGTTAAGTAAGGGATGGGAATGGGGAGAGGGAGGGGGCTGGGGCTGGGGGTAGAGGGAAATCACCAAATGCTTTCCAAACTACAACAACAATGGAGAGACTTACAAGCAAAGCTTACGAACTAAAAACATATTTGGAGCTCGGCTCTTTGCAAAGCCATTTATAGATTTCAGGAGAATTCATAAATATTCTTAATTAGTACACTTACTACACATACATATGTATATACTTAAAGAAAAACACAAAATCAAATCCTGTCAAATACACACTAACGCACGCAGGCACGTACTCACTCACACACACACACACACTCACACACACACACACTCACACAAAGTACGCGACGAAAGAAAATTGTGCTAAAAGTTTTGTAACATTTAAATGCATGAATTGCGCTACGACTTTTCCCGTTTACACTATCGGTATATATATACCATATGTGTAATGCAGTATAAACCTCTATATATATATATATATATATATATATACTCTACATATATATATATATATATATTCTCTATATATTCCTAATAATAATTATTTGTGCTTTAAAAAAACTTAAGATCTACTGTACAACAGTCGTTCTCGTATTCGTATGTGCGTTAGGCTAAAGTTAATCGAATGATTTAGTTGACATTAAGTTCGATACATATATATATATATAAAATACATACATATAAATTGTTCTTGTTGTGTGTGTGTGTGTGTGTGTGAGTGTGTCGGTGTATTGGTGTATTAATGCTCCTATTCAAAGCCATGGCAAACCCTTTCAGCTACTGCCTATTGCACAACTCTCGCGGGCCGTGTTTTATACGCTTATCAAATACGTTTAACATTTAATTCTACTGCTGCTGCTGCTGCTCTCTTTGCTCCTCCTGTCCGTGCTCCTCTTTGATATCCTTGCTAGGCACCCATGGCGTAGAAGTAGCCTCACAACTTGGAGCTGTCGTAGTTCTCCAACACCCAATGCTGGCGCAAATGCGACGCATCGCACTCCTCCATTATCAGCTTGTCCCTGCTCTCGTTGATGGCCAAGCATTTGCCCGACGAGCCATGATGCAGCAGCTTCGTGTTCTCACGATATTGCCAGAACTGTAAATCAAGTTGAAGATTCATTTTAATCACACTCATTAGCATAATACACTCGGACAACAAATTCAACAATAAACTATCTAAAGTGTTTGTATATGGGAAATCATAGAAACTGCTTTTAATAAAGTTACTCAAATTAAGGGCGATTTAGTTTTCCTGAGTGTATAAGAGTATAGTAGAATACTCACCTGATTGCCGCGTGAGCCGTGACAGCCGAAGAGTATCACATCCTTGCCGGCATAGTCCAGGCACGCCTGATCGCGACGTATTTCGCCCGCCTTGCTCAGCATCCAGTACTGCAGACAGGTCAGGGGGGTGGGGCGGAGAGTGGGGACAGAGTGAGAGTGAGAGAGATGGCGCATATTAGTACAAATTGTGGCAGAAAGTGCAAGAGATTTGTTGCAAAATGTTTTCAGCCAAGTAGCCGCATTACTTAGTATAATTTAATATTAAATTAAATGACAAAAGCTGCTACCAGTCGGCTGTGTCTCGCTAGATATGTGTGTGTGTGTGTTCTGTGTGTGTGTGTGTGTGTGTGTTTGTCTGCGGTTTTGCCATGATTATTTATAATTTAAACCACGTTGCCAGTCAGCCAGGACAGGCCAGGACAGGCCAGGCTAGGCTAGGACAGGCCAGCAGCTGGCCTGCTTTGTTCTTGGACAGCAAGGCCGCCATTTTGTTGTGTTACCATTTCCGCTTGCCACTCGTTGACCCCTTGTCGTGTTGGCCTTGTTTGTGTTGCAAGCACACATTTATAAATGTTACCAGCATTATTTTAATGTCCGACATTTGTTTTACTCACCCCCCGCTCCACCCAGAAAAGTGAAATGCGGAAATTGGTTGAATTGAAGAAAGCTGCTTATGGAAAATGCTGGGCTGCTGGCTTATTAGCCATTTTATATATATATATATATATATATATATATATATATATATATGTATAATACATATTATACATTCTATTTAATGCATTTTATAGATATTTCTATATATTATATACATATGTCTTATTTCAATTAACATATTTGACAAGCAACTCAAAACCTCTTCAGTTTCAGTCTGCAATTTAATTTTCCTTTTTCCATTAACATTTTCATAAATAAATCACACTTTAAAACTGGCATTTTCAATGTGTTGCACCTCCCCTGCACTCTGCATGTTTGCATTAAATATTCTCACTCGCTTATCGCTGCCCTTGCCATGCTTGCCACACATGCCCCTGCCACACATTGTGAGTGCGTCCTTCATTTGCTTGGTTTGCATTTGCATTTGCCTTCTTTTAAAATTCTTGACAAGGCTGTTGCTGCAGTTTTCCACAGTTTTCCACAACTTTCCACTTCTGCTTGCGTCCGATGCGTGTTGCATCTTTAATTATGTGTGTATCTTTTTCATTTAAGTTTAACGCGTTTTTTTCTTCGTATTTTTCATTTGCCGGCGCAATTTTTTAATATGCGCTTGCAGCACTTTTTTTGTTTACTATTTTATAAGCAAAGCTGGGCAATTTTTTTTGTATGCCGAACTTTTTTTGTAGACTAAAATGAAAATATTTTTCATTACATGGCGCGGTTTTCGTTGCGACTGCGACAGCTGACAAAAGGAGATGGAGAGAGAGAGAGAGAGAGAGAGAAAGAGGGGGATAGAGAGAGGGGCAGAGTGGGATTCTTTGACATAGCTTTAGTCAAAGCGGTGGCAGTTGCATTCTCCAGCAACTTCTGCTCCCATTTCTACTCACACATTCCAACATTTTTTTCTGCGTGTCCGATTTTTTTTCGGGTTTGCCATGTGCGAAATTAAAATTTGCCACGCCCCCAACACATTTGGTGTTCCCAACACGCTCGCAAATGTTGATTATTTTATTCAGTCGCGTTTTTTCATCCGAATCGCCTTTGAACATACTCTAGCTGTCGATGTTGAATGGGGTATACTAAAATGAACCCAAATGACATTATTCATTTTTACAGAGTATGTTGTAGTCTAGATAAGCTTGCGATAACTGTTAGTTGTTTACTTGTTTGTGAAGTCAATAAAAATGATTCCTGTTTCCTCTTTCTAATTTTGAGTTTCGACTTTGTTCACTTTTACAGAGTATGCTGCAGTCTGGAAGACTCTTTTCATGTCTGTTTTGTTAGTTGTTCCATTTCCTTTGCGGCGTTTTGTTTCCGTTGTAATGTGCCTGTGGGCGGCGGGGGGTGAAGTGGGCGTTGTTGAAAGGGAGGCGTGTAGGCGTGGCCAAAACAGACGCCTGGCGATTTTACCATGCAGTGGAACGAGGTCAACACTTTCCATTTAATGCTGAATACGCACAACAAACAACAAACACACAATACACACACACAGAACACACATACAAAGCCCACCCTTCCCCCCATTTATCTATATATCTATTTGTGTATCTGTTTTATCTGTGTGTGTTTTTTGGTGTGTTGCACATTTTATTTGTGTGCAGTTTTTATTGGCGACAATGCTGTTATTAAATGTTCGTAAAATTGTCACAAAATTTGTTTTTATTGTTGCACATCATCTTGTTGTTGTTGTTGTGGTTGTTGTTGTTGTTTCTTGTCTGTTGTAAAAACTTGCAGGCAAGCAAAGCCACTTGGAAATGATTTATCATTTTTGTCATTTTATTTATGATTGCATTTTAATTAATTTTTCAACGTGGCATAAATATCAACTGTGTGTGTGTGTGTGTGTGTGTGTGTGTGTGTGTGTGTGTGTGTGTGTGTGTGTGTGTGTGTGTGTGTGTGTGTGTGTGTGTGTGTGAGTTATTGTCGTGTTCTGTAGTGTTATTGTCAATGCAGTTTACACTTTTGGTCACATTCTCGCTTTGGCAACAATGCAAACATCATTTGTAATAAATACTTTCACTTGGGCTGAGGGCTAAAGCTTAAATGTTAAATAAATGCGACAAATGCGATAACAAAAAACAAACAACAACATTTTTTTTGTAGTCCACAAACTCCGTGAAATTAGTGCTCAAAACCGCAGGAATATCAAAAATCGATTTTTTATTAATATATATATTTTCTATTTTATATTTTAAGACGAATGGGAGATCCAAAAATGGGATTTGCCAAGCTCCAACGGCCAGAAACGAGCCAACGGAGTAGGGGGAAACTCACCAGCAAAAATTAAATAAGTTAGAGATGGTACTAAATGGAAATATTGGGTACTTTATGGAACACGTATGTATATTATTAGAAAATATGTAAAAAGTTCTTGGTAAAGTCTTTTCCAACTGATGCCTTAAAAAGAACTCGAAAGGGATTAAAGTGCTATATTAATAATTGATAGAATACTTTAAGAACAGTCAGCAAAAAATTATAAAAAAATAAGTTATCGAATGTTAAAGCACACAGAAAAAAATACGATTAATTGAGTACTCATACAAGAATAATAAACATATAACAAATTGAGGTTAAAAGTCAAAATGTAAACGAATAAAATATTAAAATGATGTCAAGAATGTTAAGCCTAAAGTTAGGTCCATAATGTTTACAAGGGGTTAGGTGTACTCAAGTCCACAATCGAATTAGAGATCATATTGTGTATATTGTATTAAATATGGTAGATATATATATTGTCAATTGGTTAATCAAGCAAGCGTTTTACGTTAAGCAAAGCTCGATAAAAGCAACAACACTTCGAAGGGGGGGCCAAAAAAGATATGTAGCCAAAACCAATGCAAAAAACTTGACATTTGAAAATGTCTGCTCCCCTTCCCCCACACAAAGGGGGAGGGATTTGTGTGTGGAGAGTGAGCGAGCGATAGAGAGTATGTGTGTGTGTGTGGATACCTGATGTCCTCCTTGGCCGTGGCACTCGTAGACACCGACAGGAGATTCGTCCTCGTTCTTTAGCATGGCATCGAGGCACATGTTCGTGTTGATGTTTCTTATCTGCAAATTAAGTTCGATTCAACGTCATATGGCAGAGTGAGTGAATAGGAGCGAGTTTGAGTGAGTGAATGAGATAGAAACAGATACACATAGAGAGAAAGAGAGGACACAATATCAACGGGATTAGAAATCGGGTGCAGCTGCTCTGCATGATGATGTTATCGATATCGTTATCGCTGCTCCACAAATTGATCGATTAACAGAAACCCAAACTTTGAATTAGTCAAATTAGTAATTAGGGAATAGAAAGCGAGGGTTGGCTGTACAGGCTGGTATTAGCAGAGAGAAGAGAGAAAAAAATATATTGAGGATATATCAAAACGGTTTTGTGCTTCAACGGAGTTTGTGGCGGTCGCAGTGCCGTCGTTGTTGTTGTTGTTGTTGCTCTAGTTGCGGTTGTTGGTGGTGGTAACAAACCTGATTGCCACCTTGCTTGTGGCACGGATATAAACCGACTGCCTTCTTCAGGTTGCGTTTGCCAGACGGCGAATCCAAGCAGGTGCGACCGCCATAACCTAAGTTCCTTATCTGCGAAATGGGAAATATTATGTGTGTGTGTTTGTTTGTTTACGTTTCCAGTCTTGGTTATAGCCATCAAATTGGCTCATTAATGGGTTAGTCTTGGGGCTGTAGTTTTTTGTTTTACATGCCAGGTAAGTGGGACCCAAATCACGTTTAACTGGGGTATAGCCGCTTTCCACAACATGCCACATGCCACTGCTGTGTGTGTGTGAACACGCCACATGTGCGTAAACTTACCTCGCCATTCGCCACCGCATTGCCCGGTATGAACAGCTCCGGATAGATGGTGTCCAGATACCATTGGAAGGATTTGCACTGCAGGTCCTCGCTGTAAATGTGAAAATCAAAATGAAAGTGAGAAAAACATGGCTTATCTATTTATCCATTGGAGGGCATCAGAGCAGAACCACAACTCTCTCCATTGCAATTGAAAACCGAAACCGAAATTCAACACTTTTTGTAAGAACCAGTTACAGAAAACGATATTATTAGTCCATATAGTACCATAATAAATATACTCTACATTAAAACTGCATTCAAATTTGAAAATGTGGTTCTGGCTCAACTTAAATGTTAAAATTCAATCTTTTAATCATGAATTGACCTCTAGACTCGAACTGCAGTTAATACTTCATATAAATTACTTCTACTGATCTTTAGTATTGTATCTGTGGCAACTTACCGCAGCTTCTTGCGATCGCTGACATCGCCGAAGTCGCCCTTGTCCATGCCAATGCGCTGATAGTAATACTTGGAGTAATCATCCATCCAGACCTCGGCCAGACGCACTGAGTTCTTCTTCAGCACATTAACGCCCGTGCGCCACTGCAAAAGAAAGCAGACAAAGATAAAAAAGAGCGTGAGATAAGAGAGAAAGAGAAAGAGGGAGAGTTAAGAGTTGAATTTACATTGGCAACAATTTGTGGCTGCAACAGAGAAGAAAACAACGCTACCAAAGCCAACGAAAATATTTGGCAGACAAACAATTCGAGCCTTAAACAATGCACTTGAATCAGCAGCTGGCCTGGCCACTGGGAATGCGCCATGTGGCATGTGGCAGGTTGCTGGTAGCAGGGGTAGATGGAGGGGGCAGAGTTTGGTAGACCAGCCTAATTACCTGAATGGGTCGGTTTACGTCATGTGCACCAGTTTCTGCTGGTTGTCCACTTGCTGCTGCTGCCACTGCTGCAACTGCTACTGCTGGTTGCTATTCCTTCTATGTTTACCAACCCCAACCCAACTCTCACACTACGAACATTTGGCACACCCCCTCCACCCACCACCTCATCATGCATTGTGTATGGCTCTCGCCTAGCCTGATGTTTGCCAAATTTTGTTTGTTCTGGTTTATGTGTTTACTGTGTTATGCGTTGAGTGTGTATAAGCAAATGTGTGCCAGTATGTGTGTATATATATATGTGTGTGTGTGTGTGGGTGTGTATCTATGGTGTAGTTCTTGGCAGCTTTTGCGAAGCTTGTGGCTGAGAGTGAGGCCAATGTAAAGCAGGTTGTGCTAGTTAGTGCCAGCTAATGAAATATATCCTACTTAAAGCAGACAATAGGAAAGGTGTAGTCAAAATTGCACTGCTCGACTAATCGATAAGTTATCGAGTGTTGTGCACTTATTGAGAGAGGTTTTTAGAATTTATGGACACTATGGGAGGTTCTGTTACAAAGTACTGTTATCGACTCGGAACCTTTAGATAGATAGATATAGATATCGATCAATCGATAGTTATGCAATTGAGTTGTGTTATTCATTCGAATATAAGTGATTTTTTATAAATTAATCGGTTGCTCTTCAAACGAAAAAGTTGCGTTAAATAGTCGATATAGAATTGGGAATATATATTTTGATGAATATAAACTGAGTGGCAAGTACAAAAGCTAAGACTTTTCTTTGCCAGATGATAAACCTCGATACTTATTGTTATAGTTCTTGGTTAGTTGCTATCGATAAAGTCGAATAGGGTAGCTGCAATTCAATTGGAGTCATGCCAAAATAAAAGTTGTCCCTCTGAATAAGACATGTTGACCCTGATGATGCGCCTTAATGGCTCATTTGTACAGAGCTCTGAAAATGGGTTGTCATTCTGTTCATCCGTTCGTTAGCTGCATGTGGCAGGTTGTAGAGCGAGTTGTATACAGCTGCCTCTGATGTGCTGTGGCATGCACAGAGACGAAGCCGTTGCGCCATTGACATACACAAGAGTTGCCAAACTTTTGTCAAGCGTAAACCGCTGATAATTGAGGCAGCAACAGAAGCAGCAGCAATGGCAGCAGCAGTAAAAGCTTTTCCAAAGACTGTGGCAGACACGCACAGAGAGAAACACATTGCCACAACACCCACACACAGAGGGACAGAGACGGACACACGGGACTGTGTCCCTTATTCATGTGTCGGTTTTTGGGTTTTTGGTTGTTGGTTGCGTGTTTCTTGTTGTTTGTCCAACAACAGCTACTGCTGCTGCTGCGGCTGGCACATGTGGCAAGTGGCACACACACAAAGCTTACCTTGTAGGGGGAGCGCTTGCGAAAGATGTGGCCCACATGGGAGCAGGGCACAATTTCCAGGGTGCCGCCGCACATCCAGGTCTTGAAGGACAGTTCCAGATTCTCGCCACCCCAGATATCAAATCCGGAATCGTAGGTTCCCAACCGCTCAAAGAATTCACGGTCTATCGAGAACAGGCCGCCGGCCATTGTCGGTGAATACACGGGCTCCGATGTGCTCTGCAAAAACATGTATAAAAAAGTAGAGAAAAAAACGTTAAATCAACAATTTGAATAGTAATGGGAATGGGAATGGGGGAATAATAGAGTGGACCAAAATAGTGCAGAGTGTTGTGGGTTAATTGCGGTTAATCAACATCAGCATCAGTCCCACAAGTACATTTAATTTGACTAATTGAAAGTGGAACGCATATGTTGCCACATTTGTGGTCTCTCAAGTGTTCAACACCTTGGCAAACATTGAAGTCCTTTCTGTCTCTCTCTCTCTCTCCCAGTCACACTCTCATTCTCTCTGTCTCTGTCTCTAGCTCTTTGCCATTAAGGTTTTTCTTGGTGGCGAAACTTTGTTTGCTTCCTGCTTGGCTGCCTTTTCGGATACTTTCAACAGCTTCAAAACACTTGAGGCTACATTTTGCTTGATACACATTTTCACAAGCTTTTCTATCGTTCTCTCCCTTTTTGTCTCTCTCTCTCTCTCTCTGTTTCTCCCTCTCTCTCTATCTGCCTCTTGTGTGCACTTTCCACACTAAATTTTGCCTTGTAATTGAATATTTTGTGCTACGTATTTGCCTTGCTCTTGTTGCAGGACTCACACTTTTGGACATAGTTTCTTGGAGGCAAGAGCTAAAAGGCTTTCTCCCTCTCCTTCTCTCTTTCTGTCTCTGTCACTCTTTCCATTTGTCTGCCACAAGATGTGCCACATTTTGCATTTAATTGGAGAATTGCATTTCATTTTCATTGCAATTTAATTACAATTTTTGCAGCTGCCGGGCGACATTGAATTTCATTTCATACAGAATAATTAAAAATAAACAAATTTGGATTTTTCTCGCTCTCGCGCTCTCAGTCTCTTTCTCTCTCTCTCTCTCTTTCAGAAGTTTTTTCATTTTTGTATTATGATTACATTATGCAAAAGACAAATTCGCAATTTCAAACGAAATGTTGCGTATACGCAATGTGGTATCAGCTGGCATATAAAAGAAATGTAAATATAAAAGAGAAAAGCTATAAGAAAAAACTCCGCTTGTCAAATGCAAAATGAACCCAATGATGACGAAAAATATGGAATTTAAAATCAACCGTAGCAGAAAGTCGCAGCTTAAGGCACTCTACAAAGGATTCAAATTAGAATTAAGCTAACTTTAGGCTAGTCTCACTTTTGGCGGCACCTTCTGCTTATATTTTTTATTTTAGCTTCTTTTAGGTCATATATCAGATTAGCAACTCAATTAAAGCATGTAACGTATTCTCAGCCAGTTAGGGTATAAATTCAAGTGCTTCTAACTGAATTGCTGTTTTGCAAAGGCAAAAACATGCCAGTTGAGAAGGGACTTGCAGCTTGAAGGTGGGCTACAAAAAAACAAAATCTGAATGTCGACGAGGTTTGATTTGTCAAAGGGACACTGAGAGGTGGAGATAAACAGACAGAGAGAGAGAGAGAGAGTGAGAGGAAGGGGAAGAAACGGAAGCGTAAAATAAATGAAATTGTCACTGGCTGCCTGACAGCCTAGGGAGCTGTCAGCAGTGCTTCCGAGCGAGAGGGAAGCCTTGTTTTTGTTTGTGGGGGGTGCGTATCACTAAGCAACTAAAAATATGTAACTTCAACGTAAACAACAGCAACAATAGAAAATGCCAAGCGAGCCGAGACGTAGCAGCAACAAAAAACAAAAAAACAAAAGCGACAGCAAGCAAACAACTAAAACAACAAACAACAAAAAACAAGCAGCAGCAACAAGGAGCAACAAGGAGCAGGCAGAGAGTGAAATCTCAAAGCGCGACAAGTGCCATTGTGTTTTGGGAGAGCAGAGCAAGAGCAAGAGCGTCATGGCCAGGCCGGAATGCCATGAGACGGATGTCAGATAGTCAGATAGGAGAGTGGAGGAGGCAGTGCAGTCCGAGGGGGAGCGGGGCAATAAGGGGTCTACAGCTTTTGCCTTTGGCGACCGTTGGCAAATTCGCAGTGTGACATTTAATAAACGCTGCTGGCGCAAGACAACAATGAAAACCGAGGCGATCGAAACGATGGGGCCAAGGGGTATGCGGGGGCTGTAAACGGGGTAACAATGTGGTAGGCAAATGTACGTACACTCAGAAAAAATCATTTTAATAATTCGCCAAGTGTTGCTCATCTTATTTATATAGAGAATAAATTTCTCAAACTGAAAGTTCAATTCGATTCGATCGATTCTGGGCGAGCCTTTCCAATGTGAATTAAAATGAAAGAAAAACTTTCTGATTTTTTGGACGATTTTCTAAATTGTACGCCGATTGTTTTTCTGAGTGTAGCAGCAGTAGCAGGTGTAGGAGGGGGAGATACAGCATTGCTTGTAATATATACATAGGCTACATATATATTTAAACACTCTTTTTTATTTGTTCCTGTTGCCGCCGGAAGTGACAGAACAAATAGGAAAAGTATGTGCGATGTGCGAGTGTGTGTGTGTGTGTGTGTGTAAAAGGATTTTATTGTTATAGTTGCGATATTTTTTCGTGACCCCAACATGCCTTCCATTTCGAAATATTTTTACTTAACTTGAAGTTTTTTTGTTTGTTTGTTTTCTTTGTTATATGAAGGAAATTGAAGTAAAAACGAGAAAAAGTATCTTGCGAAAATAAACTGAAATGAAATAAAATGCAGCACTGCATAAATAAATAAACACCAAAAGATGATGAAAGTTTCAGTTGCAGCTGCAGTTGCCGAGTTGCAGTTGTCGCTGCCCATTCGCCAGTTTTGTGCAAACACAAAAGTCGCAGAACTTTTGCGCTTTTGTCATACGTTAAAATCCTCCTTGTTGTTGACATTCCTTTATAATGCGGCTTAAATGATTCAACAGCAGATAAATATGGCCACTTTTTTTTCTGCCTCCCCCACTTGTTGGCAATGGCAAAACGAATCATGTCGAGTGCGGCATGTGGCATGCGAAATGAGTTCGAGTTTCAAGTAAAGAAGTTGAAATCCATATGGCTTAGTCAGGCTGAAAGGATCAGGCAGCCTTTCAACGCGTTGCGCTGAATTTCATTTGATTTATAAACCAATCAATCAATTTCATTTTTGCGGTAGATATGCCACAAAACAACGACACATCCCTTCTGCCTCCCCCCCCACGTTAATCAAAAGCAGCTTAAAGTTAAGTGGGGAAGAACGATAGATGTTCTTGACTAAGAGATACCATTTATTTGTAGACTATTTTTTTGTTGCTTGGTATGCAAACAGATTCTAGGAGCGGTTATCTTAGCGCTGCTTCATTGTCATTGTTATGGGGGAGTTTTTGAACGATTAAGGGTACACTTCTGAGCTTACAGCTCTTCCATCAACTCTAATTTTAGAATGAAAACAAGATTCTTCGACGGGTTAAGGATTGAGGATCTTTCAAGTTGGTGATAAGTTTGTCTAGTATATTATGATTGGAATCTTTTTCTGCTATGATGCTATGATGTGCTTTGAGGATGCGTTTTCAGTTTAGTTAAGTGACTTCTCAGTCCGGACCGCTAAGTATTCCAAGTCATTTCTTTAATGACTTGCTTGAGAGCCCAATGAAATTCAACTTGAATTTCCACAGCTAAAACTTAAACAAATCAGATGTTAAACAACTTTAGAGTGCACATCATAGCCCACAACTATAAAGGGATGTCGTGCTGAAAAAAGGAGAGCATCTTAAGTGCCATACACATTTCTCACATGGGCCTCAATGGCGCAATGACAGCCTATTTAGATATCAAATAAATCTAGTGGCATTTATTATGCTGTGCTGCATGGTTGACACAATTTCTTCGTCTTCTTCTTCGCTTTTTTTTTTACTTTTTGTGAAAAATGATGGGTTCTTCGGGCTGGCAAAGCCATTCGTCAAGAGCAGAGCTTTAGCAGCGAGGCGACGCACTCGAAAAGATGCCTCAAAGTAATGTCTCCGACTTGTGGCAGCAACCGCAAATTAGGCAGGCGAGCAACGAAAAAGTGGCTCAGTTGCGGAAGACACACACAAAAAGTGCCGCGCTGGAAGTGTGTGTGCGCTATGGAAATAATGTGCCAACCTGGAGGGGCATGCAACACAGCAACACCCAAGGCAACCAGCAGAAAAATATGCAGAAGAAGAAGAACAGCAAGCCACATTAATATCAAATAAAACAGTCACGAAAAGCGGCGGGTGGCAAACCGACAAAAGAAAAAAAATATGCCCGGGAATATCGTAAATGTCAGCGTAGCATTATGCCAGGCAACACTGTATTGTGGTTAGAGGGGGTAAGGGTTAGGTGGTGTAGATAGGCCCCCCTCTTAGGGGCTTGCTAAGGTGCTAGGAGAATAGGGCGTGGCAGACACGCACAAGGCCACAAAATGTGTCTGCTGCAACAAAATGTGGAAGAAACGTATGGCTAAATACATGTATACTCGTATATACATATTTACATGTGTGTGTGTGTGTGAAAAGAAAACCTAGCAGGACGGAAGGAAAAACGCTGCTTGACATAATGTGAAGTTGACTTTTGACAAGTGCTTGCACACACACACACACACAAACACTCTCAGCATGTGTGTATCTCTATAGTTTGAAGTGAGAGGCACCCCACCGCATCCCTCTTACTGAGAGTTTTCATGACTCTGTGCATGCGGCAAGCACTGAAAAAGTCGCGTTAAGAGTTGCACAAGTTTTAAGTAGAGCTTCAGATGTATAAAGAATGCAGCGGAAAAGAAAAAAAACACACAAAAAAAAGAATAGAAAATAGTATTTAGCTTTACAAAAGTTGTGCTTAACCCGCTTAACGCAACTTAAAGTAAGACAAGCTATCGCCCGCTCGCTTTCTCTCCCTTAAAAGCTTATTAAAATGTAGCACACACATACACACACAAACACATACATACACACACAAACACATACACACACGTACACACACACCTACTGTTGGGCAGCAAGCAAATGTTACATGAAACGCATCAAATTAGCATAAAAAGTTGTTGGCTGCTTTGGTGAATTTACTTTGATTACCGGTTCAGTGGACCGTTAGCG